ATATAAAGCAAGCAATCGAAACATCTATTACCAATTCTAAATTCATTTTTTGTTTTGTAGATGTATTAACAATCAATAAAAAATCTAAATATACACAATATAAATAACATGCTTTTACATGCATTCACCCAACAACATCAAAACCAATTTTAATCTACGTAAATGTAAGATTTTTATTGTTAATTCTCTGAGTGAAGAACTCCCCCATGCACTAGTTACAGAATTAGTTGTGAAAATTAATGTATACTTTTAATATGTAACTTGTAACTCCCAACTGCAATATACAGAATAATTCACTTGTGAGATTTTTTTGGAAAAGTTGCTAAACAATTATAATATCTGTTTGCCATCATATCTTATGATTTAATTTTGTTCTGAAAACAGGACAACAAAAATTAGAATTTTCAAATACACCCTCAAAAAGTTTGTTACCATCACTGTGACAGTAAAAAGCAATCTAGGTGCCAATAAAGCATTATTATCAATTTCAACAGAAATGTTATTTTCCACAATCAAGCTTTTAGAGTATCAAAATAAACACATAATGTAGCAAGTTATGGTCATAACCAGTCTTGTGGATATCTATACATTTCAAATGCAATACTCAAATGTTGATATTAATCTAGCAACTAATTTTTTTATACTTTTACATTAAATTAAACCTCCCATTTGATTTCCTGACAAATTTCAAATATTTATGCACAAATCTACTCATTCAACATTTTAAGTCAATTTCAAGCGAAATTTCAAATGATTTTCCTAAACTGAGTTGAAGGACACTTTAAAAAAGCTTTCAACCATCTGCATCTGAAGTTCAAACAAGGCTAAAAACTAGACTGGAACCAGTTGTGAAACTGTTATATTTTACAACTTATTAGCTATCCATAGAGTATAACCTACCTCTCAGAGTGGTTGATGGCAGCATCATAAACCTCTAAGAACTGACAGAAGGAGTTCTGATACATGGGGTTGATCTCCCGCATGTACTGCATGGCATCAAAACACACGGCACCACGTGCTGCCACTGTTCTGTAGCCTTCACGTGCACGCAGGATAGAATGCTCATTAGCTTCCACTCTTGAATGACTGAAAAAAATAATATATTATAGGAAACATCCTACTACAATATTCAATTTAGGGTACATTTTTGTTTATTTATTAATGAAATGAGTGTCTACAAGTAAAAGAAGGTAAAGCCTGATATGGTTGGAACTTCTGATTTATCTTAACACTCAAAATATATCTTAAAATCCCAACTCAAACTTCAAAGTATCAACCCCAATTTGGAAAAAAAACCCTTCTTTTCCTCTTTACCTTTCCAAAGTTTCATCAAACTGTTTTTTCATGTCAGCCAATTTCTTTGTGGCTGCTAAGTCATTCATGAGCCGCACATCACTGGACAACAGGTCACGCATCTGCTTCTCTATCTTGTGGAAGAACTGCATGTATTCTAATTTCTCCTAGAAACAGAAATCAAAAATTTCTTAACCAGAGAACCTAATACAAAAACTTGTATTCATACAATAACAAAGCCCCCAGTGGAACATTAATTGCTGACAACACACATGACCTAATGCAATCAAGATCATGGTATGTGTACAAAGTGTACACATTGCACATACTAACCACACACATATACACATGCATTCATGCAAACTTGCACAAAAACATGCAGCAGTTTCCATGTACATACATGCATAAGAGTGGTCTTCTCCTCCTCCAGCCTGGCCTTCTCCAGAGCCATGAACCTGTCCAGCAGCTCCTCCTCCATGTCATTTCTACACATGTGGAAGAAGATGGAGGACACGTAGGCAGCCAGCTCATGGGGGATGTGGTGGGGCTCACTGGTAGTGTGCAGGTACAGCCGGAACTTGGGCTCACATTCCACCTCATGGTCTCCCACCTGGAATATAGATTATCCATGTAGATATAGACTGCTGTATTATGTAAAAACCTGTTATGTCTTACTCACACCTTCATCTGATATAAGTTGGCTTGACTTAGGGAGATTCTTGGGAGTTTTTTCTATGAAATCTGCTTGTCTGGTGCCACTTTCAGACATTTCAATAATAATGTTTTAAAAAACTTATGCAAACACACTTTAGCAGCTCAGAAACAGATTCCTCAATTGTTGACCTCAATTATATTGTTTGTGCTATATGATGCAGAGTATTGTGAATCACTTGATTTGATGCCTTATTAAGAATTAACTGTGAATGATGTAATGCCAAACAACCATATGTTACAACATGTGTTACTGGCCTTCCCCCTCCTGCTGGTCACTCTACTTACCATTAACTTGAAAGCAGTCTTCTCTCTGAGGAACCTTGCTCTTTTGAGCAGGACATTTCTAAACCTTTCATCACAGACTAGTTCTTTGACATCAACATCTGTCACCAGGAGAGGTGTGCCGTCTGCCAGGCAGTTCTCTAGCTGGGAGCGAAGTTCCTGGAAACAGTAAATAGAAAGTCAAAACCTTTTCCCTCCATCACTTCTTATAGGCACAATAACATACATTCAGTATATTCGTGATAAATTTTATGAATTCTGTAAAAAAACTTTGAATTTTTTCCTTTCTCATATCTCTTGCAATGGCATGAGCCTGCATAAATGCACATTCACTGGCATGTTCCGCAATAAAAAAATGATAATAAAATACATTGATACAAACTAAATAATTCCACTTACATGGTATTTGACCTCCATGAGGTTCTTCTCCTTGAGGTAGCCCTTGATCCAGTCAATGACCCTGCTGGTAGGGTCACATAACAGTGGCCAGGCCATGCTGCTCTCCTCCTGCATGATAAAGCAGGCATTCTCCAACATCAGACGTGTCATGGGGAGCTTCTTCATCTCTAGCTGCTTCACTTCAGTCTACACAGATATATGGATATGAAATAAGTAGTAAGTTAATGATTTTTAAAATCTGACCCTGAGTTTAAGAGTACTGACAGTAACATTTCTCCACCCATCATGCTATTTAACAAACTAGTTTAAACCTCTACATTAAAATACTTGTAAATTTCATTTAACTCCAAAGCTTAACTATGGTAAAGTCTGCAATATCATCTGCACATATACCTATCTGACAAGAAAAAAAAATCAACAACTATTGTGCAAAATACCTTCTGCATTGAGAGTATGTACATGTATTTCTACATTCATCAATAAGGGATGAATATTGTTAACATTCACAATGACTGTTCAGCCTGAGAGTACTTACAGTTTCATAAAGGAAGTCAATGAGTTCAAGATTCCTGAACAGCTGCTTCCTGGGCATAGGCATACCATGGTGTTCACACACATACATGAAAAACTCTCCCATCCTTTTCCTGTAATATATTACATGTTTTTATATATAACTGTGTTCTTACATAGGGAGGGTTTATGGTCAATTCAGGAATAATTACCATAAATAGAAAAATTCGAACATTTTTACTAATCTGACAAAAGCATTTTTCATCATAGAATAAGTATCCATGTTGGCTGCATGTCAAAATGTGTAAAGCAAAAACATTACATTTCCAATTTTGAGGAAAATTTAAATAAAGAGATTAAATATAATCCTTGTTCATTTAAATAAGATTATGTACGGGGACTCCCACTTAAAGTGATATAACTGAAGTTCCCACAAGTTATTGTTATTGTTATTATCTACCTGGTATCAGTAGTCATAGGACCACAGTAGGTCAGGAAAGCTGCTGCAGCAATACAATTAGCCATTAACATCTCATTGCTGTCATTTTCTCTGACATGTTGTCGCCATTCCTGCTCCTGAGACTTCAAACTAAATAAAAAAAAAAAGTAAATATATGTATGTAAAAACCAGGCAATAGTTTTAAACATAACATGAAAGGGAATGGAATCTTATCTTTTGCCTGTGTTTGCAAGTTTTTGGTCTTATGAAATACAGATCATTTATTAAACAGAAAAATTCTTCAAAATCATGACAATCAAAATTTGGGATACTTTTATTTACCTTTCCAACATCTCTGTGGCTGCCCTCAGTCTCTCATTCATGGACACTAGTTCTATTTCCAGAGAATGTTTCTCAACTACTGCAGAATCAAACTGCATCTGTAGCTTATTGACCTCCTCCTGAATCCTTGGAAGATCATCTTCTGTGAGATCCTCCTCCAATTCTGGTTCTTGCTCCTGCTCTGCTCCTGCCTCTTCAGCCTGTGGAGGGTAGAAAGCAAAAGTGTCACATGTAGCTGCTTTTCAAATTTGAAAGCCATGAGGGAGACAAACAGTCTTATGGTTATTTGACATGAATAACTTTTGGATTTGGATCTTTTTCAGCATTTCTGCAACATATTACTTTTTAATTACAAAATTTATGTTTGATATTACTCATTCAGCCACTTCCTCGCTAGTGTTTTTTCTAATATACTAAACTGTATTTTTCTTCTATTTTCATACATAAAACAACAAGGTTTTGTAAGAAACAAATAAAATACATAATATCACAAGATTATTACTAACTTTTATTAAAAACAGATAAATATGAAAACATTATATTCTGAAATTATAAACTAATGCCTTAATCAAGCATGGCAATAAAAGTATGCAAGCCTGCAATCAGGATCACTTACATAAAGGGATCACATTGTAACAGACCAAACAACAACACAAATTCCAACACAAAATAAGCATGAAAAACATAATCATATGAATCTAAAAATAGCTTCTAGCTTCAATAACATAAGAATTTAAACACAAATGTCCACAGTAACTGATTCTTAGACTAGCTTACTACCTGGTTTGGAGAGAGAGGCTTTGGAGAAGGACTGCCCTGGAGAGCAGCGGCCTGGTAAAATAGAGGATCACTCCAGGAAAGACAATGTTTAAAACATAACAACAACTTTAACACTCAGAAGACATTTCAAAAGATGAAAGAATGGATGCACAAAGTTCAGGTGATAAAATTGACACAAATACCTAGTAAATAGTTTTAAGAAAAGTTGGCAATCAGCATAATAGAGTGAGCCCTTAATCCCATTTTTTCCACTTTCAATTTTTATACCTCTAAGGCTTGAGCTAAAGTAACAAAGCTGGCACTGAGCGTGGCTTATAATATACCTGTTCACAGTACAAAAAGTGCACAATGCTCTTGAAAATGTACACCTTTTGTTGCCAAATTGAGCTGACATAATTTGTATAGTCAATTAATTACCCAAGCAAGCCACATGCAACCTACAGCACCAGGGCATCACATTTATGTTCATTTTCTTAGTCTAGAAATTGTAGTTAGACTAAGAAGCACTGTTGTTTACATATAGGACCAGCTCCTCTAAGCAAGCAAATCAAATACAGAAAAATGCACATTTTTGCTATATGAAGTCTAGAACCTGTCTGGAGACAACAGACAGACACAGCTGCAAGAGAAGACAGATCATACAGCATTTTTTTTGTACTTTTACAAGTTCTTTTAAAGTAGCTTTTTTTCTGGTCATGCCAATAAGCCTTAGAAATTTCAAAATAAAAAAAGATACCAAAATTGAAACAAATTCATAAAAATTGCTCCAAAAGTAACACTTAATGGGAAAAAATTTATATACACCTATACAAAGTTCACAATGTGATGATCTATCTTCCAATTTCTTAAAGAAGAGTAAATCATGCAAAAAAAAAAAAAAAAAAAAGAAAAAAAAAATTGCATGCAGAGGTTCCCAACCTTTGTGTTCATATTCAGCCTGGCTGCTAACTCCTTTAAATCATGCAACAGGAATCATGTTATTAATTACGACTAAATATTAAACATAAACCCAATCACCATTTCTTTTTTATCATTATTGTCAATTATGTTATATACATTAAGTAAGGCATTTTACAAGCAGCTTTCTCACTCATTTTGCAGTGCTCATTGGACAATCAAAATGTTTTCCATTTCTCATGCTACTATAACCACCACCATGGACATCATGTACAGACCCTGGCAGTGCCTTATGTAATAGTATTGTTTTACTTATGTTTTAGATCATTATCTACATCTTTTAGTTAATTTCAATAATTATAACTGTAATCTTCATAACATGAAATGATGCCCTTAAATACCTTGAGCTTTTCCTCCTTTGCTTGCTCCTATATTTGCAAAGAGATGGAATGGGATAATCATTACCTCAATGTTATTTTTAAAAAGTCCTTAATTGTTGCTGTAAAAACATGTTCTAAAAGCTATCCAAATCTGACATATACATGCAAAAATTTTTTGTCACAAATGTGCAACCACTGGAGAGTACCAACAATATCTAACCAATATTCATATGAATTTTCAACAAGAGTGTAATAGATCTTCAATGTCCATTGATAATTGTTTTGCACAATAGTGTTATAGCTGGAATACCTAATAAATCATTTATATCTGAAAACATTGTTCTAAAATTCCCTGCATGCATCCATTTGGCAAATTATAAATGATGAGTCCTAAAAAGAACAGATATAGGACAGAGGTAATGATATATCTAACATGTACTTGTGAACCCAGCATAATTTGACAATGTTTTGACATCCATGAAATGCATATAACAGGTCGGGTTATGCCTTTGTGGACAAAACATTTAAAAATATCTGTAATGGTTCACTGAAAGATTTCTTACAATGGGGTCTGAAGAGAGAAACAAAGTAAAAATAAAGCATGTCTTTAAATGTTTCGTTTAATTTATTAGGGTTCCCTTTATATCGATAAAAAAGCCAAAGACGTGGGTACAACCAAAATATTACTACACATATTGACCCCATAGCACCATGTATGGTAAAACAGTAACAAAAATATGCTGACAACTTGTACTCATTTCAGTCACAACATCAAAATATCAATAAAAACAACAACTTTGTGGTCACCCTATACAACACAGATACACCAATATTACCACACACATACAAACCATACCTCTGCCTCCTTCTCTCTCTTAAGCCGCTCATTCTCTTCAATCTCCCTCTCCAGTTCATGTTGTCTCTCCAGTGCTGCCTTCAGAGGGGCACACAGTGTGGTGTACTCTACTATGGCAATGGTGTACTGTACCAGGACCACAGCATCCTCACTGGAATACTTGGCCGCAGCCACCGTGATGCCTTTAGAGTTATCTGGAGACGGGGAACGCCGGGATGCAACAAAACTTTTGTCTGGAAAAGCAAGTTAAAATACTAAGTAAACCTAATTTGACCTCTGAATTTCTATACTGGTCCACCAACACTTATGTTCTATTCTGTGAATAGCTATAAGATAGTCCAACCAAATTTTCAAGTGATTTCTATAAAAGGGAACAAGCTACAAGATCATAGATTTCAACTCACATTTCCTGCTCAAATCAATGATAAAAAGGGAGATGCTATTTTCAGAGATACTATATCTTGACAGGAAATACAATCATAATTCTTACCTGCAGCATTTTCCAGCATGGAACCCTCTCCTGTCACCCCAAGACCACCATCAACACCCCTGGCAAGGTAGCTCTCAACAGCTGAAATATCAACATAAAAACTTTATCATTCTGGCATAATTTAATTACACAACTGAAATCATAAACACATTTTCCAAGTTTAAATCAGAAAAGTTCTGATTTGCGATCTTTTTAAAAATTTGACCACTTTTTTTACTGCTTTTCAAAAGTTATCACCAAACATTGCACTTTGCAGAAGAGTCATTTTTGTAAGGATCACTGGATCAAAATCAAATTAGTTGCAGTAAAAAATAAATAACTATGTACTAACATTTGAGAGTGGCATCTGGCAGACCATCTTCCCATGGTACATTGTGCAACATGTCTACAAACTTCATGGAATCTGTCATGGATGACTGCATATTCTTCCACTTGCCACGGTCAAACTTTTCTGGGACATCTTTCGTGGAGTTCACTGCAATATTCAGTGACAAACAGGTTGTAATAATAGCAATATCAATGTGTAAAGCTTTCTCAATTATGTATCATTTTATATCTATTTTGTCACTTTGATCAGGTGCACTTTCTTAAAGATGAAATACAATATGATAAGTGGGATAATGTGTCCAAAACAGGATCCTTTATGACTGAAATTACCAGACAAGTTTATCTATTAGGCTCCAGCTACCTTTTTTTTATCAACAGACAAATAATATAAAGCACTTGATAGTTAATGGATAGACTGACATTTGTGTGAACAAAAATTGTTAGCACTAACAGGAACATCGTGGTGATAATAGTGTGATAAAGCTGAAAATTACTGAAAAGAACTGAAGATTTCTTGAAAAGCATAGTAGTGAGGGGCTAAGGCTAGAGGCCAAATATAAATAAAATTGGTGAATGAAATAAAAATGCAATAAAATAAGTTAATGGGTTGAATACAAAAATAATAATAACAAAATAACAATGATTGTTGTGCAGTGAAACTCTGCTCCTCTCAATAGAAATCTAATGAGATTGCAGCAATTAGTGTCTGAACAGTCTTTGTGCTCATTTTACTGAAGCACTGTGGTGTCAGTGGCAAGGACATGGTGGGAATGAAAGTGAAATACAAAAAATTATTTAATCCACCTGAAAACCTCTGATCATCATCGTCATAGCTACTTATCCTCCTATAAAAACCTAAACAATATATAAGGTAAAATTTACGGTTCCGTGGATTCTTAAAGCAAACGCCATTTTACACAAATCAAAAGAAGAAAAAGGAAAAATTGGTAACATATTGCCAGCGGCAAGAGCAGACATATGAACCTAAAATGAGTGAAAAGTTTTTACACAAGCTAGGCAACAAAGCATTGAAAACCTGCAAGTAAATACCTTTACTGAAGATCTAGTAAGAAAGTTTTTAAAAATAAAATAATTCTTAAATTCTAATAAGATCAATAATGTCAAATTCTTTACCCTTGCCCAAAATCATACCTTTCTTGGTTGCCGTAAACCTTGTGCTACTGGAACTGGCAGACGTCGCCCTATTTTCTTCCTTGGCGTCTCTGTTTTCACTTTTCACTGGACCGCCATAGCCTCGCTTTCCAATCAGTGTCATAACCATCTCCATTACGTGACCCACCAACATTGGAGGGTTCTGGAATGCTCTCAGTCTCTCAATACAGGAACGATCCACCTTGCCCTTCCAGTGTAATACCTGAAGTAAAATAATTATAGTATTGCCTTAATTAAAATAGGAAGTGTTGTCTCATTTTATGACTTTTATAAAGTGTCTTAGTTCAAGGCCACCTTTTTTGATTTAAGTATACATCAAAAAATTTAAAAGCTATACATTAATAAAAAATATGTTTATCATAAATTTGATTATCCACTCACTAAATTTTCTCAAAGCAAGCTGGTTTGACTTTAAAAACATTACTCAGAATGCTTTTTAAAATTCATAATTAATTAATTACCAAATTGATGATAAAAACACTCACTTGTTCCTTAGCATATTCAAGGTTCTTTCTCCACTCTTCTACCTTCTTCTTAGCTGCAGCCAGTTCCTCCACTGCTTTCACTTGTCTGGTTTTCAATTTTGTCTCCCTGAGTCTGTCAAATTCTTTATCATAATCATCATATTCTTCTGCAAATGAAAGGGAAATGCTAGTGCTAACTTCATGTACTAAAAATAACTTGAACATTTTAATCGAATAAGAAGTCAGAAAGGCGATTGCTTTTCCACCAATCAATTCAAAGAATATCAGGCATAACAAAATGTTTAACATTGTTTCAGAAAAACAAACTACAGAGCCTTCAATTATCAAATTGAGTTTATACAAACAAGTGTTCATGTTACAATGCTGACTTAAGCATATACAGTTTGAATGCACAATACACCTGCTTTGTACAAGACACTTGCTGTGCACCAGATTATCAACAGCTGACAGCTTACCTTTCTGCAGCAGCTCCTCTTCATCCTCCTCATCTGAAGACACCTCGTTGAGTTGCAGGAAGGCACTAAGGGAGGTTGCCATACCAATCCTGGCTTTGAGCTTCTCAAGAACTGTGGCCTTCAGGGTCAATGACCTCAACAAGTTACTGGTCCTTATCTTGGCATTTTCATATTTTTCTTTGATGTTTTTGATGGCTTCCTTCATGATTTTGCCATCTTCTCTTGTAATGTCCAATGTGTACAGTACTCTCCTAAAAGATAATAATATAATCATGAAACAGGATTTCAATGTGTTGATAAATTGTGAAGTTAAAGTTTAAAAAAATGTTACTTAAGATCTATTACATCTAATATAATGAATTGCCCCCCATCAATAAGGCTTCAAATGTCCAATTTATACATCAATGTGATTATTAAGAAGAAAAAGTAAATGAAATATATTTATCTTAAAGTACATCTAAGATATGCCCTATGGTTCTACTGTCCCTATAAACAATTTACTTGAGTTGGGACACTGTCTCTGTCCTCTGTTTACATTTGGTGGAGTAAATATGCTTGAAGCAGTCCATCAGTCTTCTGTATGTAGTGGGGCCTATGAACACCTCATTCTTGGCTGGCTCATCTAAGTTCTTGTGTACAGCTCTGAAACGCCAAGTAAAGTATCAAAATATGGACTTCTATAATATTCAGAAAAACAACATTTGCAGGCAAAACAAACAAAAATCTTCAAAAATTGAGAGATCCAAGGAAATCCTTTATCCCTTTAGAGAAAAAGATCTCCTTTTGAAGATACCTGATCTGTTCAGCCATGATAGACTTGGCGTATGGAAGATTTGGGAGGTTGACATTCTTATATTTGATGAGTTGCTCTCCCCTCTTCTTCTCCTGTAGGTACACCTGCACCATAGCAATTTCTGGTGCCAGGTTTCCTGCCCACGGCATCTGCTTGCAGTCACGTAGACCAAAACTGTGGATGTTTGCCAAGCACGTAGTCAGGTTCTCACTGAAATTAAAAAAAAAAAATAAATAAATAAAGTTATGGATTATAACAGCTGTCATTACTGAGATTTAATGAACAGATAATCATGCTGACAGCTTTTAAAAAATCAGAATTTATCTTTTTCTGATTTAGTAATTTTCAAAATGTGCCTTATGCAGGCTCTACTGAAAAAATACTATGAGTTATAAAAAAACTTAAACAGTAAATGAAAACATTTCAATTCAATACACACCAATTCAGACCAATTTCATATATTAAAAATAGTTAAATTGATACCCCTAAAAGCTGAACAATGTCTACCCAGACCTACCTCAAGTCCACATTATCCTCCACCAGTTTGTTAATATTGATATAATAAGCTGCCTCTCCCATGAGAGCATCCTGAGGCCAGTCACACATCCAGTTGATCTGACACCCACTCAGCAGACCTGGGTATTGGCTGGAATTAGGTGACATAATATAAGACATAAACTCAATTAAATAATGATATGTTCTTACTGAATGCCACATGTGTATGGAACTTAAAATCTAGATATAATAGTTACCTTAGCAAATTCAAAATTTTTCAGATTTACTTGATATTTTGAGTAGCACCTTCAACTAAAGACACTTCAAGAAATCTGGAGACACTACAAGTCAAATAAAACATAATCACTTAAGGATATTAAATGCAAATACATACATGGAAGCAGTCTTCAGAAGTCTGTGGTTTGGAGGCAAGCACATTATGATATGGAGGTTACTCTTAATTCTGGACACAAAGTACTTCATAGGGTCCTGGGCCATATTAGGGAACTCCCTCTTTAGTGCTGGGCCAATGGCCTGGGTGAAACAGAAGGAGGATATCAGGACTGAGCAAATTTTACTCTCAGTGTGAAGGCAAAATTCAGACCAAAGTCCTTTACAAACATCAAAATGCATCTATCTAATGGAATTACTGCTAGTTCTATAGGATGAATGTGTATAATTACATATAGTAATATTTCTATGATCACAGCCAAATTAAGCAAAACTGATGCTATGGAACTGCAATATAATAATAATAATAAAATCTATACTATCAAACTGTATTGTGATGGGTAAGCACTGACAGATGTAGAGTTAGATCTCACCTGTAGCAGTCCATCCAGTTCATCATTAGACAGCAAGTGAGGATATTCTCCACACACCAGTAAACTGTTGATGGCATCCAGGTACATGTCATCATGGAGATCACGGGCCTGGAAGGGGTGAAACAAAAAAATATACAAAAAGATATCTTCAGANTCAAACTGTATTGTGATGGGTAAGCACTGACAGATGTAGAGTTAGATCTCACCTGTAGCAGTCCATCCAGTTCATCATTAGACAGCAAGTGAGGATATTCTCCACACACCAGTAAACTGTTGATGGCATCCAGGTACATGTCATCATGGAGATCACGGGCCTGGAAGGGGTGAAACAAAAAAATATACAAAAGATATCTTCAGACGTTACTCTTTCTTGTAGATCCGCGTGAGCTGCACACCAAAAAAAATCATCTAAAATATATTTGGTGGACAATAAACACGTCTAATGATCAATTTCTACACAGAGTATAATTCAATATTTAATCTATGTTCAACTAGTGTTCTAAAAAATATTATTAGAATGCACCAAATGATAATGACAACACCATCAACTCACAGTGAACATAAGAGATATAATCTTGCCCTCGGCTCCACTCAGTCTCACTGCAGACCTGAGGCCATCAAAGAAAGTGTTCTGTTTGGAGGAGTCTACTGGGTGGATCTCTATGTCAGCCACATGGAGGGCCAGCTTGACCAGTAGGGCCAGGTGTGACCCAATGGCACCAATAAACAGAAAGTTACCACTGGAAATAAGAATATCAAATATAAAAAGATCACTAAGACAAGGAAGGTTTAGGTAAACCCAATAATGAAAAACCAGTGACCACATGATAAACCAATTGCAATATCTTATTTCTTGCTCTACAAGAACTCTGAAAACCTTTATGTTTTAAAGACAAAATTACATTCAATATTCTAAAAAGAGCATTCCAAAGGGAGAAAATTCCGCTCATTACATAACTTATGCATGGTAAGCAGGAAATTATAAGTTAAAATGTTTGATCTATGATAAAATTTTAAAAATATCTCACCCATGATGGAAACTGAGCACTCTGTGCATCCTGACCACGTGTGCTATGATATGGTCAGATAACATGATGTCCAGTTGGGTGTTACCAAACTCCTCATTGTATCTGGTCAGGTGGGCAAACAGGCAGTTATGGACATCATGGAAACTCTGGATTGGCTGAAGAACAACCTGGAAACAACAGGGTCATGAAATACTGAGAATTATCAGAAAAATTTTAATAGTACAGACTGCATTGAACAACTGTAATAAAAATAGTCTACAGATAGTTTCTTTAATTTATTTGGCAAAAAATTCTTTTTAATGTTTATTTCCTATTTCTTTCCTTATTTATTCAGTTATTCATTCATAATCAGTTATACTAAAATTTTTTTCAGTTATCACTGAGTGTTTGAATTATATAAATCACATAGAGATGGCATTGCATCTTGGAGTTTTAATTGCTGTGACAACTGGTGTTTTAATGATGTCAGACAGACAGTCTCAGTTCTATCTGAATACACCTTCCTGCACACCCTTGCCTACCTTGACTTGTTTCTGTGATAGAGAGGTCACTGGTCTCTGGTACACTCTGGTATCAATGGGGAATGTCACAAAGTTCTCATACAGCTGGTCTGCCATACCTGGCCATGTCTAGGGGAAAAAAGAAAATTGTATTTTGATGTAAATGTCGACATTGAAACTTCATTAGAAGACTGAGAAAAATCTGCTTCCTGTATTTTCCTACAATAAGTAAAAAAAATCTATCAAATCTATTAAATCAGTAACAAAATATATCAAGTAAGACTGTTTGCAATGTGTTTCCATGAGAAATCCAAAATAATTTCAGTATGAGGAAGAAACTATAAAACTGGCACTCTCACATTCAAAGTAACAAATTGAATACGTTCCTTTTAGTTTATCACCATGTAACATTGAAACAAATAAACTGTAACAAAGTTCAAAAGTTCATCTGATGCTATCACCAACAACCAGACTTTTCAGTTCATATCTGGGTAATTGGTAGCTTTTTGTTTTCTTTTAAAACCCACCTCATCCACCACCTTCTCCAGTGTCCCCTCTAGCCAGTTGATATCACACTGTCTGCAGATCTTGTCCTTCATGATTCTGTTCATCTCATGTCTCCACAGAGATATCACTGTCACATCCTCCGCGCGGTTCTCATCAGGGAGACGCTTCAGACACTGACAAGGATGACATGATCAGGTTATAAAATGTTTTGAAAATTCTGTTTCTCTCATTCAGTTTTATACGTACATCATTAAATCATGCTTAGAACATTACTTTTTTGCACTTGATGTGTTAAGCAAAAAATCAGACATTTTTATCAAATGTTAATGCATAATATGGGGGTTGTAACTGCATTTAAAAACAGACTAAATGCTAGCTTTTTCCAGCATGCTTTACTTTTTTTACTCCAATGTAAATTTTGTCCCATCAAAGATTCCCAGGTAATAAATCACAGCTGTACATTCTATTCACAATATAGAATCAAACTGTTTACAGGCTGGGCAAAGATATCTCACCTGAAAGCATGTGATCAAGTCCTTCAAAGTGAACAGGTAATGGTATCTTCCTGGCATAGGTGTGGGTCTGAGCACATCTTGGACAGCAGTCAGTGTCTTACAGGAGGCGGTCACTATGGAGTTGTGTAGTTCCTGCTCCAAAGCTGGCTTGTCTCCTGCTGTCATGTTACCCTGGGGAGGAAGAAGAACAATTCATTATTTAAATTCTGAGTTAAGCAAGATGGATTATTGCTGCTTTGAGAATGGAAACTTTTTGCACTTTCATGTACTTTAACTAATAACAACATTATTTAAAACAACCTACACTGAAAACTTACCCACTGATTCTAATAAAATTATCTATTCCACATTAGTTCTTCATTTAATACATCAGATACACCACCTCTGTACATTTCTTTAATCATAATAACCATGAAATATTGTAGTACATGTATAAATAGAGAAGTTTCTATACTATGATCTTGGATCACCCACCTCCAGTACTCCATTCACAATTCTCTGCAGACCATCCTTCACGGGGGATGGCAGGTGGAACACAGCAAAGTGACGCTGGAAAGATAACAAAAGATAAGTTTAAACAATGGAAAGAGGCTGTTCAAGTTTAACAGTCCTCTGAATATAATCTTTTAAATGTTCCTTTTCATTGGAATGTTTTGAGGATAACCTAGAGGATGGCCTTTATGTTCATATGATAGAAGACTGTGTTTATTTATGTATTATAGAAAATATGTACCATATAAAAAAGACATTAAAAATCGATCCAAAGCATAAGAGAAAGTTTAAATCGATCCAAATTCACAAAAAATAAAAATAACAAATAAAAAAAACAGCAATCTGAACAAATATATATCTTAATATCTCTTATTCCTCTCACTACCTGTCAACAGAGATACACAAGTGCATAGACCAAGATTCATTCAGTCTAAAAGAAACAGCAACTTACCATCAGCCTTTCTTCCAGTTTTCTGTTCTTGGCACTGGGATATTCACTCATAGACATAGTGGCAAAGATAATCAGGCCTTCTATGGTCCTCCATTCAAATGGCTTCTGTAGTGTGCAGAGAGTTCGGTCATCTAAAAGTTGTCTCAGGAGCTGAAAGAGTAATGTTGAAATTGAAAATTAAAAGCTGAATTTAATGTTACTCTCTGTAACTTAAATAAATATAACTTACTTTGTTGGTGCAATAAGTATTACATTACCACCATATATCCTGATACAATTGAATCCATAATCTGCATACCATTATCAAGAGTTATACCACTCAATAACTTTGTAATAGAATGACTTCTATGGTTTAAGACAGTAGTTGTTTGCCTAAATTTATCAACAATGAATAACATCTCTCTTGGTAGCTTTTGTTTTCGTCAAAAAATGAATAAAGTTGCTGTTTTTTACCTCATTGCATCTCTGCACTCCCTGACTGTCAGCTACAGGCATATTGAGGTCATCAATGAAAATCTGAAGTCTTTTGTTCTCCTTGGCACCATAAACAAATCCTGAAGATAAAAATTTAATAGTAAAGACTCTTTAAAGAAAAATAAAGATTTATACACTGTTGGCACATCACTTCATCAAGGAAGTGACAATTTCGTGTATAAAAATGATTATCAAAGACTTTATCTCTTAAAATGTTAATGTTTTTATTTGCTGAAACTAGTTCCCATGCCCAACATTCTGAATTTTCACGTGTAGATACCCTGTCTGTGGTATATGTTAGCTTCAATAAACTGCTGCAGTTGTTTGGCTGTGGAGGCACCAGAGTATACCAGTCTCTTCCCTATCTGAACCTGGTTGTCTGCAAGGACAAAAGACAATAAATCAAGGTTTAAGCCTGCTGAAGAAAATACTTCTGTCCCAAAGCCAATGAAATTTTGAACTTAAGAAATCAAACAAAATAATGTGAATGACAACTTAGTGTTGCTTCACATGAATTGGACTAATAAATAATTTCCCATCCATATTTAGCCATTTCATTTATATTCTATAATAAACTTTTTTTTTTAAACAGAAGAGTTACTTAATATTGCATTTCTATTTAAATATAAAAAAAAAAATCCTCCTCCTCACCCTGGGCATCAATGAACTCATTGACCATGGTGGTCTTGCCAGAGCCTGGAGGTCCCACTAGCAACACATTCTGTCCTGAGGCACAGGCAAACTCCAGGAACACACGGGTGCGGATCTGTAGAAAATTATATTTTTCATAAGAATAGTATAACTCAAGTAGAAGCAGTGTCAACAGAGTAGTTTTACTCTGATGCAAAATCTTTCAATAAAAAAATTCAAATCTAATCTGCATAGAAAGCTTCATGTACTCTGAAATCACCAGGGTCCAACTTTCTAAACATAATTAATTCAATTAGATAGTAATTGACTTACTGTGTCCACAGTGTCCACAAACACCTGCCCCAAGATGTCCTTGTTGTCTGTGTAAATGGCCTCTGGTACCCTAGAGACCCAGGGGTCCCACTCTCCTGACTCATCCACATAATAGTCAAATACACAGATATCACGGTCATCATCCGGGAGACTGGAATTAACAATGGGGATTATGTTCAAAATATGCTGAAAGGTTCTGTTTTGCTATCTTGCAAAATACAATGATTTCTAGGTTTTCCCTTTTGAAAGATCTGATAAATTTTGGCATTTCTGTTGTGGTGAACATGTCTACTGTCCACTTAAAACAAACAATTTATGATTAAATGTGCCAACTGAATAATTCCATTGCAAAATGAGCGAATCCATAATGAGAGTCACTGAAAAGTAACAGTAAATAAAATGAATGGCATGAACAGGAACTTAAAGTCACCAGCCATGGCCTACATGCATTTCACCCCCTTGACACCAGATGGGGCTCATGTTGACCAGGAGAATTAAGGCTTTTCCTAAACTATACTTACGCAGATGACAATGTCTTGACCAGATCACTGAATCCCTTCCTGTCTCCCTTGTCCAGTAGTCCACCAAATGACCAGATCAGACAAAACAGATACAGTCTCTCTATGTGTAGCTCACCACCAATCTCAATGTTGTCTGCTAACATGGCCGACAAGAGGTTGAGACAGGTCTTGAACATGCCCACTTCACTCAGTCGCATCTTGGGTCTAAATTAAAAAGAATTTGATAAAATTAATTCAACTTTTTAAATATTTGCAATCTTCGATCAGTATCCTTTAGATATAAATATATATAAAGCAATAAAATGCTTCACACAATTTCAGTATTTTTTCAAACCTGATAATCTAATCATATGACTTAAATAGAATCATCAAAATGCATTTGAATAGGAGACTAAAAATAAAAAGATTGCTCCATTAATGTACTTACTTGGCCTCTGCCAGGACATAGTGCGACACAGCATCCACTGTTTTATCAAATGCTCTTTGTAAAACCTACAACAGATCTCTAGGTGCTTGAATGCATTTTACATAGTATAATATTATTTTAAATGGGCAACACACTTTTAAAATCTGTAAAATGCTCAAAAATGCATTTTTATACAATAATTGCTCAAAAGACCATTTGGCATTAAGTGGAAAAAAAAACTTAAGAGACCATATGAAAAGTGATAAAAATATCCATTACTGTTTTACAAATATTTTAAATAAAGTATCACTTGCTTTCATAAATATCAAACCACAATTTAACTTTTTAGTTTGGGTCAAGAAGCAAATTAATTTTTTTACCAATACTACAAGCAGTAGATTATGTAAGAAACAGATTTTAAGCTTTTCTTGAATTAAACAGACGTGACATATAAGTTATATAAAAGTGCATGGAAAAAGTGAGGAATTATATTATGCTAAATAGAGCTAGGTAGAAGCATCCTTTCCAATTACTACATAGTTATTAGTAAATCACACGCTAGAAAGTCATATATGAATTGTGTTACGTTATAACCCATATAGACTAGCATACCAGTTCTCTGTCATTGTCACCAGCCATTTTAAAAGTTAAATAACAAAACATAATCCAAGTTCTTAAAAAAAATTAAATAAATAATGGATCAAAAACACACTTTTCAAATTTTAACATAAAGTTTTTTTAAATAAAAAAGGGTGATAATAACTTAATTTAAAACATGGAAAAAGAAATAATTTACCACTGGGAAAAAAAGGGTCTGAAATCAAATACAAACTTAAACAAATTGACAACAAAATAAACAGTTACATTCCACTGAAAATAAACTGGCAGGCAAGACAAATAAAGAATACTGAAGATTTGAAGGGGTTATTAAGGTGCAGGTTAGTAATTTTTTTATTCTAGTGCAATAAAAGCCAAGATCACAGTCTAAAGATGGCTAATTTCAGATAGATTGATTTTGTAATTTTAAAATGTCTGAACATATGATTCTAATTAAAAAAAGTGGCCAAATCTATCTTTTAGAGGAATACACTAATGTCTTATTCGCCATCTTTAGACAATACAGAGAGGCAAGGAAGGGTTAATAATAAGGTTCTGTTAAATTAGTAGGAATGAAAAGTTAAGCACAGGACCAGAAAAGTGAATGTGACACAGAAATGTCAACATCACACACTGATCTAAGGAATGAAGGTGACAAGAGAGAGATGGGTGCAAGCATATTATTATACATGTGTGCCCTATGCATTATCACGTAACACGACGCACATGCACTTCCTGCTGTGTCCTGTTTTCCAGCCATGCCTTCGAGATGGGTCTCCAGCCAACGACGTCTTTGTCAACATACACAATACCCTTAGTGAAGAAACAAAATATGATACATGGACATGATGTACAAGTTTACAACACTGTTAAGATACAACATTTTAATCAACATTAACTTAATTCTTTAAATTATAAAATCTAAATTCTTTAAATTATGAATACAATCAAACATTTGAAAAAATTCATTATTCTAGATGATCAAAATCCACAAAGAAAGTTGTGGAATTATAAATCTAAAGCTGAACAATTCTTCATGAAGTCAGACTCACAGTCCTTGCTATAGTAGCTGGGGAAGCCTGACTGAGGTCTGAAGTCTCAAACAGAAGCTTCACATTGTCAGACAGGAACAGACGGTCACCATTCTTCAGGTGCATTGCCTGGAACAAGTACACATTCAATGTAATATTTAGGAAACTCAACAGATATTGGCAACAAAATCTTCATAAAATGTAATCTGTCATTTTTTACATAACATCTTAGTAGTAAATGTAAGTAGTTTCTTATACCCTTCATATTTTAAAAAATATCTGTTTTAAGACAACAGCACATTCAATTTCAATTTTCTGGTGGAGTGATTTAATTTTCATTACTGCAGCAGTACAATTACTTATGAAATTTGTCTCCTGTATCAGTATTTCCATACCTTGCCAATGTCCAAGACACTGCTGAAGTTGTCTGCCCAGTTAGAATTGAGTGGGCCATCCAGACACAGCCATGTGGTGCTGAGATTCTAAAATATAAAATATAATCACAGTCAGTTCTTGGCATATATGTTTTATTTCAATACCATAATATGTTTAGAATATTTGTCATAGTATTTCAAAATTACTTTTCCATTTCAAATAATCTCAGACACATCTATGCAGGATTCACATATGTTTAGTATTGAGTTGACAGGGAAAGTGATATTTTCAAACATTTCTTTATAAAATTATGTTTACCCTGTTAGACTTCCTCAAAGCAGTGGTAAATATCCCATCCACCCAGTCCTGGTTCTGGTTGATATAACCAAACATGAGAGAGAGGTCATCCACAACCAGGGGGTTGATTCTCTGCAGCTTGTGGTTATTCTCTGCCATAGCCGTCCCCTTACTGCTGTGGGAGTGCCTGGAGAGGCCCCGCGGGGTCACACACAGGGCATCAACCAGGGTCTGGATACAGGTGGACTTCCCACTCCCTGGGGGACCAGCTATCACTATACCTGTGGTGATGAAATAAAAAAGTACATTAGAAGATTTCAGTTGTACATAAAATCTGGATCTGAAATTCATGAGAAAAGTATGAGAATGGCTACAATAAAATAGTATGGTGTTGCCATAAAACCAATAAAATCAAATAAATTGGAAAGATTTTTTATCAAACATACCATGATGAATCTGTGATACATTGTAGAGCTGCATGCACTTCTCCAGCCAGCGCTTGTGTGGAATGAGACCTTCCTCTCTTGCCGTCTGCTCCACAGCCATTTCAATGTCATATGACCTTGACCTTGCTGAATAACTTTGTTTGGTGGTTTCTGGGAGTCCAGAGAACACGTCCTTGACAATTTGCTTGAAAATGGTGTAGTTCTGCAATAAAAGAATTTTTCTTGTTCAAATAATTCTGCATATTATATTTGCCTCAAAACAATCTTATGCATCATTCTTACTAAAAATACAAAACATAATTTAGATGGGGTTTAACAAAAACCACCTTAGTGCTCACTTTGAAAAAGACAACTTGCTTTGTGCCCCCTAGTTAAATAGTGAACTTTGACCAGAACCTAGTCAGAACTAAATAAGGTAAACATAGTGGAAGATTACAATCAGGTATCTACATCTTTAAGTGTAACAAAAATAATTTTATTTAAAACTAATCAGAGTGGCAGTAAATTCATACATCTCCCTTGAGTCTAGGTCCTATGACCTCCAGCAGTGCCTGGCCCACCAGTGCATGCTCCTGCTTGGCTGCTGGGGTCAGAGGGTTGGGGGTACCAGCTTTCCTGGACAATGTAGTCTTGTCTGCTTGTCTCTGACCTGGAGCTGGACCTAAGAAATGAAAGACAATTTGAGCCTGGGTTGTCTGTGTTGAATTAATTCACAGCATTTAATGGTGACACTGCTTAACACATATTGAAGAAGGTCCCTGTTTGACGCAAAGCATTGTAACATATACAGCTTCAATATTATGTAGAAAGTGAACAGTTTTAACTTAGATCATATTTCATCATTATCAAGAATAATGACAGCATATTGCACTAAAACTGTCAATTTCATTCTGCAACACCTACTTGTCAGACTTGTAGACATCATAGTAGGCAACTGGACAGAGGCCTGGCTGTTGGACCTGGACATCTGAGTCTCTTCCTTCTTGTCCAGCCTATCAAATGACTTCTCCTCCTTGAGAGACTTCCTCTTCTGTGCTGCCCTCTGCAGGACACCAGTCAAAGCAGTCAAGCTGAACTGATGTTGGCACTCTGGAGTCAGCAAGTCCTTAGCAAGATCTGTGATAATTTTCATCCTGGCACCTAGTATAGCAGGTGCTTTGAGGCCAGCTGAGGTGCACTTAGTTTTGAGAACTATACTGTAGTCTGGCATGACAAGTGCTACAGATCTGAATAATGCTTTCACATCCTCTGGCATGGTGAAGTTAGGGGGCGCTGTGGTAGGGTTGATGGTCATGTAGATAGCAACATTCTTCTTGACATTTACCTGAAACAAAGAACATTACCAAATCTTGTAATGCTGGAAAGTTAGTTATTTTGTCTTGATATGATACTTAAGCAATTCAATTTAAAAAAGAAATATAATAAAAATTGTTTTCCTAAAGTTTCCATTTTGGGTAGATGATAAAACATCTCATCAGTCAAAAGTATCCATAGTACAAACCATGCCACAGAAGGCACAGACCTACCTCCTGTCCATCTCCAAAGTAACAGTAGTCTTTCCTGGCCTTGATGGCTCCAAATATGGCTGTCACACAGTCCAAGAATACAGAGAGAGCTTCCTTAGACACCAGCTGCGCCTCATCAAAGCAACCCCAGGAGCCATCCTAAGACACACATTCAAGTGTAAATATTAAAATAAATGTGAAAGGTATAAGAAGTATATGTATATTTGATGTTCATGTTTTACACAGTTACTCACAAAGTACCTATTTTAGATTTTGCTGTTTTTTATCATCTACTTGACATAAAAGTCATCCTAATTTCCATCCCAATTTTATCTTGAACACATAAATAAATAAGAAAGAATGGAATTGATAAATAAAAAAATTAGTTAAGTCAATTATCAACTCACCATGGATAATCCTTGTAACATCTTGCCTAAAGATGATGGATCCATCTTTTCAGAACATTGGAAAATTCCAAGGAAATTTCCTAGAATTTGGGCAAGACCCTGAAATGAAAAGAAAAAAAAACAATCAATACAAGCTTTTACCCAAAACCAGTTCTATACATTGCACCACATCCAAACAAATCTTGATACTGCCTTTGAGCAAACAGAGAACTTCTTAACCTTAAAACAAACATACTGAGTATTAAAAAGCTTATTTTTGCATAAAACCCATTTTTAATTTTTAAGTGACATATAAATTAGACTCAGGCTACCTTGCATGTCTCAGTCTTCCCCACTCCAGTTCCCCCATGTATAGCACTCCCCTTGAACTGTGCCAGGGCCTGGGACATCCCTAGGAAGCAACGCTCATTGATGGGAGTGGGGGTGATCATCTGCTGAGCTCCATAGAATTCACAGCCATATTGATACTTGGTGTCCAGCATGTAGATGACTGGCTCTGTCTCCTCACCTGAAATAATCATAATGCAATGAACACTGCCACATTTCTTCTTGATGTTTGTGACTTAAATACAGCAATAATATGTTTCAACAAAGAGTAAAGTACCTAAATGTTACACTGCCTAAACTCTTTTAAAGCGGATCAACAGCAAAGCTTTACTGTACTTTGGTTTACTAAGCTTTTTTCAATCAAAGCATACCCGGCTTTACCAGAGAATTTATTCAAAACATAATAGGAAAACCCTATTGATCTTTTTTAATTATGTTTACCTGTGAGAGTTCAAAAGATATGAAAGAAAAAAGGTGAGGTGGCCATAGATACTTACTGACTTCCTGCAGATAACATCTGGCATTTTTCCTCCATTCAAAGTCTGTGGTCTCCCTCAGCTTTCTATTGCTCATGTAGTCTATGCTGTCTCTCAAGTACAGGCAGTACTGAAAATATGAATGTGTATTATATGTTGTATTATCATCTATACAAAGAGGTTTTTGTTTAATTTTTTTATATTATCAAATTTACTCAAACAGTGGACAACACTTTCAATATTCTAAAGAATATTTCCCTTATTTAAATCTAAATATATTTAAATTTTATTTAAATACCTTAAATACTAGTGGCAGACTAAAAATTACAGTGAAATTTACAACATTTTGTCATGAAAAAAGCCAAGAATATAACCACAAAATATATTCAAATGTCACTGCATTAATCCTTAGAACATAGCATTTAAACCACTCACAGTAATCATGGCCTCCAGTCTTAGCCGATGCATTGGCATCATGGCCTCATCTAGGGTGCGCCACTGGTTCCGGACTAACATGGCTGGCAGCTTACTGGTGGCTCCCTGGAACTTCTTGGAGATATTGTTCAGGGATTTCCTGTCGTATTTGATCTCCTGTACGCCCTGCTCACACTCCCTGGTCCAGTAATACAACAGGCCAATTCTGCAAACTTGGGCTGGGTACTGGAAGAGAATAGTTTAACTTTACCTAAGTACATTCAATAATCTGTAACTATTTAGCCACATTATTATTCTTAAATGACCCAAAATGAGGAAGGCAAATAAAAAAACAAGAGAAAAAGAGAGACAGAGAGAGGTCTTACCCTGAATGCCCACTCGTCCATGGTGACATTAGCATTGACCTCCTGGCACACAGATACAGACATCTCATGGAGTGTGATTCCAACAGATTCCCTCAACTGCTGCAGCCACATCTCCACTCCATCAGACAGGGAAATCTGTAGAGTAAACAAATGAAAACTCTTATACAGCTCACTTATTAAACAGATCAGCTACTGTACTTTTGAAAAAAAAAATTTAATATATTTCTACAATGATCAGTGGATGTAAATGACAAATAATTAGATATTATCAATCTTGGAAAAGGAAAATGCTGAAATAAATGAGGTGCTTGAAATATGCATAGAGTATTGGGTTAACTGTATGGCACTGCATTTAATACAAATGTATTTAGTATATACATTTACAATAGTAAGGACATAAAAAAACGTACTGTTTCATTGAGATTCAGCATCTCTCCCTCCAAACTGGTGACAGCCACTGCCTCTTGTACTACAGTCTCCTCTACTGCAACCTGCTCAGAGGGCAGCACTGTGGCAGTATGGGCCATCAGGCTGGGGTGGATGTTCTATGGAAATTGATTTCAAATGTGTGATTTACCCAAGAAAATATTCTTATTTCAGATTTGTATATAAGTGATGCTTATTATGATGATTATATTTTTGTGAGTTTTCTACTGCAAGCCAACAACACATGTACATATGACAATAAAATATGTTCAAATTCAATACATGCAAATTCAAATTTCAATATTTTTTTCTTTTTCTTTTTTCTTTAATCTCTTTTGTTAAGTGACATGCAACCAAACTAGCTGCACTATTAGACCATACAAAACATAAATCATGTTCTGAACACTAAGAAAATACATTATCTAGCATGCAAAAGTATATAGATTTTTCACAAAGCTCGCTAAAGGTAAGCCATGCAGATTTACATATTATCTATTGTCTCCATTGCTCACTACATCACATAGTAAGTGATGAATAAAGCTTACAATTGTCAAATAATTACTGCAATGTATACTGTGTTAACATACTAATTTCTATTCTTTAGATACCATTAAGGAAGTGACATAAACTAACAGTTTTAAAGTTCTATTTCACAGATATACTGATATGTAACTTATACGCTTCTAATAAAATGAACAAAAACAAAAAATGTCATTATTCATACATTGAAAATCACAATATTCATCTAGGTAAACAATATTCAAATTTCAATTTTCAAAAAGATTGACCTTTCAATGCTTTTCTCTGTAAGTATGTTTCAACCAACTTTGTTTTCAAAACTTTAGTATTAACTTTGTTAAAACAAAGGCAAAAATTTTTGTTCACAGAAACTACATCTAATCAGAGAAAAACATAAAAATGTCTGGAATGCTGTGTGTATCAATAGCTGAAGCAATGTGAAGTGGAGAGGCTATTAGTATGGGGCAGGTCACTCAGTGCACTACTTACTGACTGGCGCTTTTTGTTTTTAAACTTGCGATCATTTCGAAGAGCTGGGGAGGCCTCAGTACCCTTCTCGTCTTTGTCCTGTGGTGCGTTATGGGACAAATGTGATACTTGTGACTATTGTTAGTTGTCACGTGACATTGTCAACATCAAATTGAAATGCTAATATGTCTACTATGTCTATGTTGTTCTCTACGTCATCTTGAACAGATCAGTAAGAGGATTTTATCTACGGCTTTGAAGACTTTATCTATGGCTTTAACTAAATCCTAGGTTTAAAAACCTAATATGAGAATGAATGCAAATGGTGTTATTCCACTCAAAAGTTTTTCTTGTTAAAGAATTTTAGATAAAAAGTGAGGTTTTCAAATGAATTAGTTCAAATCAAATTTGTTTTAGATTTATGTATCCTATTAAGATTTCAACACAAGAGCAGGAAAATAATTTGGAAAAGGAATATGCTACACAACAGAGTCACAATATTCAATAAAGTGTCAGTTTTTCAAATGAATTAGTTCAAATCAAATTTGTTTTATGTTTGTGTACTATATTAAGATTTCACCACAAAAGAAGGAAATGATTTGGACAAGGTATATGCTACACAAAAGAGTCACAAAATTTAAGAACATTAAACAATTTTAGTCTGATTCTATTAATTTTTGAAAAGCTTATTTCAACACCAAGAAGGATATTGAGATATCATATTTTGCTAACTAGATCAAGGCATTTAAGAATGACACACTGCAAAAATTGCACTAACAAGTTGAAGGGATTGCAGTGAAAATGACAAAGGGAAATTGTCTAACAAAGTAGAAAGCACAAGGAAATGTGGTTAGTTATTTTGCAATAGGGCATATTTAAAAGCAACATCTAGCTGAAGTTTAGAAAGTTTCATATATACAGACAAAATAGTAATATCAAATATGAATAAAAAGTTGCAATCAAAATGCAAATCTTAATTAGTTACTACACAATTCAACTTATAACATGTGCAACGAAGTGTACTAGTGAATTTCAATGTGACAAAATGAACAATTAAAATAACTATAACATTAAATGCACACAAATTACTTGTGATAAACAAACAAATCGAAAGTGCAACATTCTTATTTAAATTCTATTTTTAAATAGTGTTCTACAAATCCCTTATAAATGCTGATATTACAACTCCAGGGAAAAATATACACAAAACCTGCAAGTCACCAACCAATTTCTTCAGCTATCTAAGACAATGCATTTGATATCAATTTAAATCCACAAACTGTATTTTTTTCAGATTGCCTTAGTAATTTTATGCACCAAAAAAAGATAACTTTTAGTCACAAAATCATGTATCAACTGGTTCAAGGCAGTTTGCAGGTTCTATGCACTTTTCAAAAGTACAAATATTGTGCCAAAAACAGAGATCTGTCATGGCACAATACTTACATGGATCTGGGTGAGCCTTTTGTCTATCTTAGCCGGAGTCTGCAGTATACGAGGAGATATGGAAGTGGCTCTGGACCCCTCACCAGGTACAGGGGTACGACTACGCCTTGATGGTGTCTCTGATCTGGCCACGGACTCTGTCTCACTGCTCAGTGGTTCAGTTCTCTCCAGTTTCACATCATATACATTGGTGAAGATGGTTCTGTGAAAAAGGAATGATGAATATATTATATTTAGGTTGTGCTATTCAATATTAAACAGAAAACTAAACCACTGCTGTTACTAAAAATCAAGCCTTTAAATAAGGGAGGATTCTAAAGAATGGTACTAGATTATGTTTCCGGTTTCAATTTCTGTCAACATGATACATTTATTTTTCATCAAACCATCTAATATCTAATGATAATATAATAACTTACTGAAATGTTCTCTTTAACATGTTGAGTACAGAAAAAATGATATCATTACCGAGCTCAGAGCCTCCTTAGCCCACCCCTCAATACCACCTACCTGAGATGAGGTCTGACTGACTCCAGATCATAAGGTCTGCTCAACATAGCCAGCAATACTGGGTCTGACACAAAGTAGAACCTGGGGAAAGCTCTCCTCTTGTTGTCCAGGTAACCCATCAGGGACTTGAAGCAGATCTCCAGTTCTTCAAAGATGTGCCTTAGAACAACCCCCTTTGGGACATCACCTCCATAACAGCACTACAAGGAAATGACATAGAAAGACATAGAAATCAGCTGACTCAAGGATCCAACATATACAAGACAAGTATTTAAAGAAAACTTTTTACATGCATTATAATGGAGAATGTTTTGAAGCACAGATCATTTCTTTCTTTAATTCCGAATGAGAAATCCTGTCGTGTGCAACATGCTTTTCATTCTCTATGTTTACTGACATTAATAATACCTAAACATACCTGTAGGACATTTCTTGTGTCATAGGCACGCTTCATCATTTTTACCCATCCCTTGTCAATTCTACTAAAACGTTTAGCCTCTTGAGGGAGTTCCTAATAATATGATGTCAGTATAAATTAAATACAACTTTTTTCATATAATGCAAATGATTTCTGAAACTGAAAAAAATTCCCTAAACTTTTTATATCCATATATTTCATAGTATCATAAAAATTCATAAACAACAAGTATTATCACATATAAAACAGATTAACAAAATGTAGCTAGCAATAAAAATATCTCCAATAAAATCAGTACCATATAAAATGATATACAAAGTCACATGTACCTTGGCTGTGGTAGCATTACTGAACACCTCCTCCAGGTACTGCCACAGATCCTGCACCTCCAGCCAGGTCTCCAGTACTAGCCCCACCTCCTTCAGCTTCTCTGCCCAGCTAGCTGCCTCCTCCCTCAGTGGACCTATATACTTAGAGGTCAGCATATTGGCCAGTAGGGCCTGAGCATCCTCCAACTGCTCCAGCAGGTGCTCGGTCACTGTCTTGTCCAGAAAGATGGGCCCTGCCTTTTTGTAGTTCTCAAAGGTAAGGACTTGTTCTGTCCACTCTTCTTCGGTGATACGCATCTTGATTTCTAGTTCTTGTTCTTTGCTGGCACAGTAGCAGATTTCTTCAATTTCTGATTTGTGTCTGAAAAAGTTAAAGTTCAAAAATATGAAATGGTCTTCCACCATCAGTTCTTGCTCATTAAAAACTGCAATCATACCAACACATTTTAAGTTGGGGAAAAATACAGGGATTTTTAATCAAAATTGCTGAGATGAAAGAATGTTTAATCTCCTTGTCTTTGAAATTTGTCAGATATCTCACTTGATCAGTCCTATGTCAAGGAGATGGCAGAGTTTGAATACGTTGGCCTCCAGTTGGAAGGAGCTTCCTGTCACTGACATCACCTGCAGCCAATGTCTGTTACGAATTTCCTGAAAAATTTTTTTTCACTTTTATGGCACTGCTTGAAAGAAAAAATTTTAACTATCTTGATGTAATTACTGGTAACAAAATCAGTTTGTGTTATGTGTGTGTGTGTGTGGAGGGGGGAACTTAATTGCATCATATTTTATAATGATATAAGGAAAATCTTTCTCAAGCTTTTTATAAACCAATATAGTTGTCTACATAATATATACTATTTTACCTTTCATTGAAACCAATCCTACCTTTGAAGCCAGTCTATGCAGTAAGGGGAATACATCCAAATACTGCTGAATGGAGTTCTTCATGTCATTGTAAGCATCCCAGTCCTTGAGTTTACTGGGCAAGGCAAGACATTCATCCCAGTAGGATTCCACCTGGAAATCCAATTTCATTAAGAATAAACAAAGAAAAAACATTTATTTTCTTAAACACATTAAAAGCTGAAGGATGAAAATGTCTGGTTAGGAATGTACATGTGGGGGGAATACCCCAGAAAATTATGGACAAAAAAATCAATTAACAAATAAAAACACTGTCATACTCTTTACATACATTTTAACCAAATGATATATTTCCATACCTCTCTGTTGTCATTTTCCAGAATCACCTCAGCCCAAAGTGTGTCCCTGAAGATATTGTCAAACCGTATGAACTTCTGGAAAAGTCCATACAGCTGACCTAGAAGATCAAGTTCCTGAAAAAAAAAAAAAGAAGGAAAGAAAAGGTGAGGCACAAGGTAGTTGACAACAAGCAACACACTTACAATATGAGATTTAGCTATCCAATTGTATTGAAGTAATTGAAATTTTACTTCTAATGTGCTATATATATCAATATCTCTTCATTCTATTAACGCTCATTTAAAGATATGAATAGACTGATTTAAATGTGATACAAAATGTAATGTCTTTAAAAACAAAACAAAAAAGAAAAATATTTGATAGATTTTTATCTCTCCTTACCTCTCCAGTTCTGTCCAACTCAGTGAAAGGCTTACACACAATTCCAAAGAGTCTGGAGACTGAGTCCAGTGTCTTCCTCTTGGCATCATAAAGAGTGTATCTCTGCTGGAAGTCATGCAGACGTTGGACAGCCTCTGCTGGGGGTATACCAGGCACAGCTGGACCCTGGGCATCAAAGGCATTGCGGAACTGGATCACCTCCACTACAAATGTCTGGAAGATAATAAATAAAAATTAATTGCTGGAGCATGTATAATCAGCTTGTCAAACTAAATAATATTTAACAGCAAAATAAATTAGTAACTGTTTTATCAGAGTGACTTTACTAAGGCACTAAATAGATTTATCTGACATAAAAAATGTTGTTTGCTTTACTACTCTGTTTGCAAGTGCCTAATCTATCAATTTTTACAATTGTATTCATATTCTAGTATTACCTTGACTTGTTTGTCCAGCTCCTGTTCAAATGCACCTCTCTTTTCTTTCAGCAGATCATGTCGTACTTGCTCTGTAAGTTCTAGAAGCTCTTGCCATTTGTCACGTAGGTGGTCCACTTCCTCCACCTCATTACGAGGCAGGCGGAGCTCAAACTCCCTACAGATGAATGCAAAACATATGGTTTCTCTTACACATGTCAAGTATTTAACCTACTTTTTATTTTTTATTTTAATTAGGGACTGAATAACAAAAAAAAAAAGAGAAAAAACAAAATAACTGCTTTTTTATATTTCTCTTATACCGCCTTACTTAATCAGCGTAAAGCATGAGTACTGTTTCCTGATTACTGAAAAGATACACTTCACAAAGCAATCATCAATAGACTTACCTAAGTTTGGCATACATGGTCTCTATAGGGAGATAGATGTCATCTACATTGTTCTCCATGTCCCTGACCTCCTCCAGCAAGTGAAGAGTACTGTTCAGTTGGTCCAGTGTCTGGACATTAAGTTCAAGACGCTGACGTACATTGTACCTATAGAGTACTGCTGCATCTAGCTTTTTCTGAAAAATTAGAAGACAATTAAAGAATTACTTTATACTTGATAACCTACTAAATAATCCACAAAAATGATCTGAAAAAAGAGGGTAGACATTCAAAATAAAGAAATATCAATGATGGTATTTTAAAAATGCAATCATAAAATTGAAAGCATGTCAGTTTTACCTTGGCTTCTTCATGTAATACTGAAGCATATTTGGTCTTCCAAGCCATAGCAAATCCATGGAGAGCATCTTTTATGGGTGCTGTCTGCAAACATATGGGTCCCACTGGCAACACTTCTGGAATATTGGTCACTTTCCTCTCAATACGCAGCAGTCTCTCTACCTCCCGTTTGATGGCAAAGAGGCCTGGATCCCCACTGATGAACTCCTGGTAGTTCCCATGCATATCATCTTTCCATAAGAAGTCATATAGACTGAAGTGGAACAGATGTTGCTTCACTATGAGGTCCAGATCTGAAATTAAAATGCAAATCTTATCAGGGTGTGTTCATATCAATCCAACTAACAGTATCATATACTTCTGCTCATCCTCATAGACTGTCAACTATATCAGTAATCTGCTTTCTCAAAAAGTCAATCTTTTACACTGCTATGCTTATACCAGTACAAAATAATTTGTATAATTTTACACCAAATTTTATAAGAAAATTTAGCTAAAAAAAGAGGCATTTTTTTGTCTGTATATATTGCAGAATATCAGCAAAAGAACTATAATTATATGATATACATAATAAATCATATCTCAAAAGAAAATGCTGAAATTGACAAAAAGATGCTTATGTGGATGAAATCAAAATAACATTACCTTCTACTATGCCCTTGATCTGTTCAAGGATTTCCTGTAGAGTACCGTCCTCCATGATAGCTGTGTGGAAGGAAACCCCCACCTGACCACTTGACCAGGAGATACCTAGGACAACATGAAATTTACCATGTATAATCTTGAACATACCTGGGATTAAGTGAACAAAGCACTTGCCTCAAATGAATTTTTTTTAATCATTTTTTTAAAATAAAAAGTATGTTCCATTCTTAAGACTTAGAATAGAAAATGTTCCTTGGTCAGTTATGTTACCTTTAGCCACCTCCAGGACCTCTGCGGCCACTGCAGTGACAGCTGTCTGAATACTGGCCAAGGCTGGGTCAATGATGATGTTTGGAATGGAAAACTTCACATTCACTTTGAATCTGAAGTAAAGTTATGATCTTACTTCCATTGTGTGAAATGTCAAGTGCAACTAATTTACATTCCTTTGGGAAAGCAACCAACAAATTATGTATCATTTTTTCTTAAAATTTGGCCTTATGGATGTAAATATCATGATATTTTTTAAATACAAATCTTAAAATCATAAATATAAATGAACTACATAAAAATAGCAATTTAATAATTCAACTGCAATCAAAATTGTTTTTTTTTAAAAGGGCTATTTTGCTATTTTCACTTTGTGAATTGCATTCAATAGCAAACCAAACATCAAAAAAGTACATAAAACAGTCACTCTCATTTAAACCTACTTACTGAAGTACCCATAGATAAAGCCAGATTTTCTCAGTATAGTGTCTATATATATATTTATTTATATATTAATTGTTGTTTAATTACACCATAATATCTATGTAAAAATAGAAAACCAATATTTCCCCTTTTCAGATTTAAATTTCATATTTCTACATTGCTTTAGATTTCAGTAAGTCTTTACTCCTCCAAAAAGAATCATAACTAAGTTCAGTCATCTTGAAAGACTTCAAAGAAGATTTTTCCACAGGCAATTGACCAAACTGCATGCAAAAGAGTAAACTGCCAAAGTTACAGCAGAGCAAAAAGGTCAAAGTTCAATTTTAGGAAAAAAAGTCAATCTGCAACCAAATGGTAACCATTTTTTATTTATCACAGGATTTTAAGCAACAAGCATTGGAATGTGACTTATTTCCTAAGGAGGTGGGGAAAAAACTCAAGTGTCTTCTTATTTTCACAGGCAAATTTTTTGTGGAAACAGGTGAATAGCATAATTTTTAAAATGCTGGGATAAACTCAAAAATCCAATCTGATTTTTTTCAATCAAACAACTTCTCACAAAAGCATTGTCCAGTGTTTATAAGACAGGATGAAGTGAAAGGGAGGGAGCATACACAAAATCAAAGCAATAATCGCTTTATTATTTATTTATTTATTTATTTATTTATTTTTTTTTTTTTGGAAATGGCATCTCAATTGACCATCAGGTTGCAGATTTGTGACATTTAAGTCACATGAATGCACAGTACACACCCCTGGCAAATCAACAGCAAGGGCAAGTGTGGTGTTTGTATTAAAATACTAAAGAGGCATATAGATAGTCATAATAAAAGATAAAATGTGTGTAGAAACACAGCACAGAGCGAGAAGACCACTATGGTCCACTTCTGGCCACTACAGTCCACTACTAATATTATTACCTGAAGTAAGTCACATCATCCTGTAAGTGTCTATTGAACAACAGAGGATTAATTGTTTGAAACCAGCAGTTAGACACAATACAAACAGATGAAGTGCAGTTTTGAATAATATAATAAAAGAAAAGGTACAAAATACAAAACATATAGACTCATAAACAATTATATTAAAATGGTTAATAGTAAAATAAAAATCACTTTGACAAAGAGTGTTTAAACAAAAAGTGACTACTTTGTTAGTTAAAATATAAAAGAAAGTCTCCACAAAAAGTATTAATACAAATGAAACAGTTTAGGCAAATAAGCTGTTAGACTTATACGTTGCTAATGTTCATGTGCACAATTAAAAATAAACACAATGAAAATTAATAAAGATAAATAATGGTTCTTACAGTCATGCAATAATAATATGGTATAATGTTAATACAAAAAGCAATGACAAGAACAAAACAGCTTGTATATTTTGAAAGAAATACAACTTCTTTGTAAATGTATCCCAAAAAGTTTCTAATAACTAAAATACACTGGAATAGACAGGCTAATATCACAGATGGGAGTTAAAAATAGATGCAATGGGTAACTATTGATCATCCTGTGACAAAAGTTTGTCTATTTCCAGTTTATTATTCAATCATGGACCAATTGGACAATACCCCTAACAGAAGATGCACAGCTTTTCTTATGAACAACATTAACACTTACTGCAGGTAAGTCTGCTCATGAGTTTTCTCAGTTGTCCAGGTCATGTTGGACAACATGGACAAGCTACTTCCTGGCCTCCTGTTGCTCATGTTGGATGCTGGTCTGCTTGCAGGCTGAGACTGGGGGTCTGAATTTTCAGACAGGTTGGACATGGCACTGACAACTCGTATGGTCTCACTGTCACATCCACATGCCTCAGCAATGGTGACCAGGGACCTCCTGGTGGAATTCAGCACTGCGTCATACACCTGGGCGCAGTAGTGATCTGATGGGAAGAACAAAGAAAGATCAAATAATTGTGAAATATTCTCATTCTACATTCAGATACAAAGTTACAGATTGGGAATATTCTACTTGAGAACTTTAAAAGATTGACTCCTCTAAAATTGTCTCATTATTTTTGGTATATAATGAAGTTGAGTGGGATAGACCTTTAAACTGTCTTCTTTATACTGGGTACCTATCAATATAAATTTTAATAAAATTATTGTATAAGGGCCAATTTCCTTTTGCTTTATTGGCAATTTTCTTATAACAGGTAAGCATTAGTATTGATTACTTGATTGTTTAGTAATAGAATCAATAAAAGAGCTATCATTTACTGAGAATATCATTGATCAGTTTTTCCTCCTCTTCTTGTGTCATCCCAGGTCCTGGGGTGGTCACTTTTTCTTTGTCCTTGTTGGACTTGAAACCCGCTGGGATGGGGATGTCAGCCTAAAGACAACAGCAACAACATTGTTAACTCTCAAATAGTGTTTCAAGGAAGAAACCCTTTACTCAAATCATTACATCTATGTGAGAATATATAAGTTTACCTAAAGTTATCTAAAAAGTAAAGACTTGATCCTGACCAGATATCACCACAGTAGAAGGAAAAGTGGTAATTTAAGACTACATTTTACTAACATGAAAGTATTAATTACTCACATAATAATATAACAGTTATCAAATAAAACTTCTAATACTATTGCATTATTACAAAACTTTTAACAACGATAACGAAACTAACAAATTAACCTCTTGAGATCTATTTTAATAAAAACTATCTAACTTTCATAAGCTGCATAGCAATACAGTAAAAATGACAATTTTACTACAGTATTCTAGTGAAAATAAATTACATCTTTAAGTGATATCTATTTCCTAATCCATTATAACAATAAACATGCTGATTATGTCCAATGTAAAGCCTTTGCACTTCTTATAGATTTAAAAGGATAAACATTATGTTAAATATTTTTTTTTCAGCAAGAGATCTTCTAAGTTTATGGTCTTTCTTCTATAATTTCATATTCTCTAAAAGATAACAGAATAATCAAATTCTATATGGACCTGGTATGCAAAGACTTCGCAAATTCACATGTACAGCTTATGAATTCTATAACTATTTGCTAAGCTTAAAAAATAACATAAACAACAAAGAATTCATGTGGCAAATCAAAATCACAGCAACTGCATAGTGCTCCAGGTATCTTAAAAATACATAACAATACTAAGCTAAGATTCACTACACAAAAACATCACTTCACAACCAATATGATGTTAACAGGGTGCACAGTCAGTGGACAGTGTGGGTTCAATGTGGGTGCACACAGTGGCAAAACAGGTGTACACAGTGGGTCAAAGTGGATGCTAAAACAGTGCAAAAGTTATCAAAATAAGTAACAAATGTCCAAATAACCATTTGCAGGTATTTCCGTTCTCTTTTCTCCTTTTCTTTCTCAGCTTGTTCTTCATCAATCTCGATAGTTCTCTTCCATTTGCGCTTCATTGTATTGAGTTTCTTTAGTACATTAAAAGAAGGCAGCTGGAAGTTGAAAATGTTTTAAAATGAAAGCCTAGTTGTAAATCTTGAAAAGGCACAGCCTCTGAATTTCCCCAAGAGTTGTTCTTCAAGGCAGCAGGAATGAAGCGGTAAGCTTAAATCTGGTAATTCTGACCTGTAACATGCTTGCTGCAATAGAAAAAACAGTAGCAAAAAAAAAAAAAAAAGAAAANATGAAAGCCTAGTTGTAAATCTTGAAAAGGCACAGCCTCTGAATTTCCCCAAGAGTTGTTCTTCAAGGCAGCAGGAATGAAGCGGTAAGCTTAAATCTGGTAATTCTGACCTGTAACATGCTTGCTGCAATAGAAAAAACAGTAGCAAAAAAAAAAAAAAAGAAAAAAAACCTGAAAAATAACAGATTCCTGAAATGCTGGTTAGTAAAAGATTTGTGCATTGCAGATGTAAAGGGGTAATAAGAAAAGTTGTCAGATGTGTATTACTAAGTTTCTGCATCTGTTTTTAATCAATCCACACACTGTAATCCAATCACATGCAGGTTCATCATAATGAGGATAAGTTCAGACAAAACAAAATCAAATGATCAATCACATCACTTACCTTTTCTCATACAGTTATTATATTTTCATTTCAAAATTCAACATCAGGTTTAATAAATGGTAACATTGGCACAATCTTCTGCACACTTTTTGCAACAAGTCTGATACATTTCTGCATGACCAACAGTACAAATCAAGGACCTCATACATGGAATATAAAACTCCACATATGGCAAACTGGTTGTCTGTTGATGTCAAATGATGAAGTTAAACCTGTTTCATGTCTCTAAGTAAGTCCAAACTCCTTAAAAATTTTGCATAAGATTCAAAACAGTGTGTGCCAATGTTTCCTTACACACAATCCACATCAGAAATGCTCAAAAAGGCAGTAATTTCAGATTCAAACTCAATGGAAAGCATGCATTCAAATCGATTATAAACCTTTGTTAGCTTTTTCCCTTTGTTGGACAATTTCGAAGAAACTTTTGAGGGAGGCTTTGGAGCCTGGGGTCCATCCTGAAAGTATTAATGTGTGTTTTGTTTTTGAATAGGTGAATTCTTGAAGACTTTTAAAGGCAAACTACAATGTGCTTAAAAGGAATTATCAGAGATGAAAGAAAAGCAAATGTGTTAATGCATACTAAGCTGATAGGAAAGATAATGGAAAGATCCTTGTGAAACTTAAAATGGTCTGAATATCTTTATGTAAGTGTTTGTGCAGAACCTGAAAAAAGGTTTAGTTAATTTTCAGCAGCAAAAATGGGGTACAAATCACATCAATTTTAACCACTAAAAGAGTAAAACATTTCTTTCAACAAGAACAGGATAGTATATTACTGTATTCTTTTTTTTTAGTCCTTAACACCAACAGTAAAGTATTTCACAATAAAAAGAAAGTATATGACTACTCCTACCTTTCTATTGGTCAGCATGGTAACAATCTCATGCATGCCCCTCTCAATGGTGCTCACATGGCCATACATTTCCCTGGCCTTGTCTTTGACACTTTGCACAATGACTTCTATGAATTCTTGGGGAGGCTAGAAAGAACAATCAAAACTTAGAGAATAGGGAGGATCCTCAGCCTTAACTTAGAGTAATTCAAAATTACTGTTTTATCAAACATGTGACTTGCAATTTCATAACCAAAAGACTTGGAACTGAATGGAACTTATTGTCACCACACTTGAGAAAGATCACATATTTTTACCAATTTAATGTGTATATTATCATACACATAGAATTAAAATGTATATCACCTTCTTTGTTTTTTCTCTTGGCTCACAAATAATCAGACCAAAGAGCACTGAGACTGAAACCTTTTGTAAAATGCATAATAACTTGGTGACTAAATTTTAACAAGACATTATAAAAATTATAAATAAAACTTACCCAAGACTTAGAGAAAGCCAAATCATAGTCAAACAGGAACATGGCATTAACTTTATCAATGGTTGTCTGAACTTTCACATCTACTATATTGTTCACACCATCAACCAGTGCTTTCAGCTTGGATGTAGCTGTGTGGATTTGGTGAAGGAAGGCATCTGAAATGCATAAGAAAATATAGTTTAATATTCAACTACAAAATAAACAAAGCATACATTTCAAAGGTAGAAAACTGATCATAAATACAACCACTGTCCTAAAAGACATTACCGCTGCAAAAAAAAAAAAACAATATTGACAGAAAAATTTGTTAAAAAAAAGAAAAAATTATTCACAAAAATACACATTTTTATGACGCATGACAAAGACACTACAGCAATGTCTGAAACAATAAATTTAATATTGTTCATAAGAGAATGAGACATAAAAAGTCTTAATTCCTTCAAAAGAAATCTCTTGCCTATGCATGATACATATTTTAAAAATATAACTACCATAGAAAAACCCAATACCTATATTCATGCTGTTCCAAGCCAATGTGGACAACCCTGGTTGGAAATTTAATTGCACTTGTTCAATGTGAGATTTAAATAAGAGCTTGAGAGACTCAGGGATGGAGTTACACACACTGTGGAACTCCTGAAGGCACAATTCTAGGTGACTTTTGTAGCTCTTGAAGCGGTCCTCCTGGTTCAGGACAGATTGAGCAGATTCTGGGATTTCTATGCCCAGCCTGGTTAGCCATTTGGCTTCATGGATAAGTTCCAGCACTCTGAAAAAGTGTTAACATTAGGTTCAAGTATTTATTCACATGACACAGCAGTTGTGTTGGCTAAAAATATTCTGTTGTCTCCAAAATCATATCCATTTAAGAAATTCATCTCTGTCAAATAACTATCAATAAGATACATCCATGAGGCTAAAGAACCACAAAGCAAGAAATTTTCCAGGCTAGCAAGTCTTACATTATAGACATTTTGCCAAATGTGAGCAGGATTAATTTTTAAGAGTGAAGAGCAGATACTGTACAACAATGACTCCAGACACTGACTAAATGACATTACCAGACAACCAGATTACACTAGAAGTACTAGCAACATCCTTCCATATGGTTTTAAACCTCATGTTAAGCAATGGGAAAGTCTGGCGAGGTAAATTAGTCTTTTCTGATCTAAGTTAGGAGAGTTGAGAACATGCCTCATTTACCCCCTTTTTGTCCACATACCTTTCATCAGCATTAACCACCACCTGCTTGGTCTCTGGGTGATGTACAAACAGAGTGGCTCTGAGTCCATCCCTGGCCTGCTCTATCCTGGACTTCCAGTCACTAAACCACAGACTTTCAAAAGTCACCAAAGCTGTAGCCAGTCTGTTGTAGACTTTACACACTCTGCCAAAGTCTTTGAGCTGCGTAATTGCTTTGTTTTCACGAAAGACCTTCATGGGGTCTTCTATACGTTTGAGCAGCTGTCTGGACCAGTGGATGGCTCCTGCCACTGGAGGAGCATTACGGAGCATCTGAGGGGCATCCTGATATGTATTTCAAAAACATCAATTTTTGATGTACAATACAACAGATACAATTAAGGGACTCTCCAAGAGAATTGGTTTCTGAGTTACACTCAAAGCAGATGAAATATAATACTTTCATGAGGAAATAAGATAAAGCGCTAAAACAAAATTAAATATTAAAGGATCAAACCAGGATAGCAAGTTAATCATAATGATTATGTTAAATTCAGGCCAAAGTGAACAACAATGTAATGAAGACATATTAATGCCTTGCACAGTGTCATTGCTAATTACCTTGTGTTTCTCATACATTTTTGCCACTTCTTCCAAATCTCCCTCATACCAGTTAAACATCTCAACAAATTTCTCACTTATCACAGTTCGGATACCTGGACGGAACATGATTGGTGTAAATCTAGAAAAACAAGAAAAAAAAAAGAAATTTCAAATAATACTTTCTATCACAAGTAAAGATGCCATTTATAAACTAGAAGTCAAAAGGTGCAATGAATATAAACATCACAATTCTATAATAACTAAAAGATTAATTTCAAATTTAATTTATTTAAAAAACATGTCTTGTATAGAACAAATATTATTAGTAGTCTAAGAGGCTGAATACATGCCCTTTAAACACATGACATAAATCACAGGACAATGCTTAGATTGAGACCATATAATACTGAAGCAGTATAATTACCTGGTTATCACTTGTAGCCCCTCTTGTGTTTTCATTTTCCTCATGAACACAGCATTGAGGTAGGCCCCAAGGAACTTCTCCAAGTCTTGCACAGTTAAGAGAAATCCTGTATAAGTTTCTTCAAATTTATCTTTGTCCTGCAAGAAAAGATCACAGAGTTAGTTTAGAGTAAAAACTATCATGGATCAAATATTATACAAACAATGCTCTTCCCTTAACTATACATTATGGCTTCCCTTAACTATACATCATTTTAGTATCCACTTACTTACATGCACTTGATGTTGATTGCCGAATGTAAAAGAACTGAATCTTTTAATTCTTTATTTTAATTGTTCAGCTTTGGAAAACAAGTATGACTATTTATTAGGATTATTACATTCAACTGCAACAAGTCAAATCCTGAAAGTTTTGTGCACTTAGAAACAGTGTATATTTTAGATCAACTGAGATTTGTGAAAAAATCAAATTGGAATATTCTAAATACTCTTTGAGATGATTAAAACTGAATGTGAAGTGCCTTTAAAATAAGAAAATTTTAATAACTATAAGCAAATTTTAATGACAATCTGTAATTGTGCATTTTCTAATTGTGTTTGTGCTTGTAAATCCTGTTTATTTTCATTTTTTTCACTAAAAAGTATGTGTGAGACTTAGGATACTGCTAAAAAATCTGTGGGTGATTTTAGACTACTTTATACTAACATACTAGTGACAAAATAATCTTAAAGTGAGAAAGTGCTTATAAACTTGTTTCAAACTGGAATACTTAAGCTTCTGATCAAAATGCATATCCACAAAGACAATAATATAAGTAAATAAATTAATCAAAAACTTATTTTGAAATTAAAAAAAATATGTCTGCCTTAAAAAAAAAAAAAATCCCCAAACAGAAATCAACTCAACAGCATATTTTGTGTCACAAGAAACCATTTCAAAAATTAAACATAAATACATAACTGAAACTTTATTTCAAAGTAAATAAATGAGAAAATAGCTGCTAACAGATGAAAAAAAAAAGATTAAGTTAACAACTGTGCCCAGTGGTGATGTGCTCTTACCATGGTAGGTGAAGCCCTGTACAGGGCTACCAAATCATTATCAAACTGATATAAAAAAAATAATAAAAACATATTTCAGTAAGTACAGCTAAGCATTCTTTTTGAAAAAATATCATTCCACTACACCATATATGAAAATCTGATTTCATGGATATAAAGACAGTTTTGTTAAAATGAACCACAAAACAACACATGGCGTTAGTTAAATGATACACAAGCTACTATTTGACATTTTAAAGTATGGTAGGATAATAGGACTACAGGACTACATTAACATTGTTTATTAACCAAAAACATGCTTGATCCTTACCTTTGACTCTACATCTAACATAGTCTTTGTAGTCACACTCTCTGCCATGAGTTTGGCCATTTTCTGGGAGTGGTCTCTTACCACAGCAGCCACACTGGGACCCTCTGCAGTCTCTGAGTCTTCTGGGTAATATTGTCCTGAACATAGAGGTAAAATGTGAAAATGTGACTTGACACCAGGAAATGTCTTTTGGATACAAAAGCTAGTAATACCACATCTGAAAGCTGCTGGGCTCAAGTTATAAACCGAAATACTTGCAACAATAACACACTGTTCTTTATCGGTTATGATTCTCAGAGATACTAAGACACTGCTGCACAATATCTGATTAATCCATGTTACCCATAAGATATATTCTTTTGATCCAAATGTCGATACTTTTCAAACCAGCTTCAAAATATTGACCTGGTAACATCTAAATTCACAAAAAATGTTACGTTCCAAGTGCTGTATTCATAGTTATCAGACTGAAATCACATCAACAGAAAAACAGCCAACAGAAGCATAAATTATTGTTAGAATAACATCACATTGTGTTACAACTTACTCAGAATCTTGGCATCTTCCTTGGTCAGCCCCTGTTGCCCCTCTGAGTCATGGCTCTCATCATGATGGCGTCTTGTATGCTTGGGGGTCTGCTTCTCACGGCTGTCGACCATCATAGCAAGCTCCTCCTCCTCATCTTCATCTATCACATTGAGTGGAGGACCACCATGATCACTGGGAGGTTTGTACTTTGAGGGAGATTGGGGCACTAAAATAATGAGGTACAACATTTAAATAATTATGTTAATTTTGGCTCTTTTCAATGCAAAATAAGCATAATGGTAAAGGCATTGGACAAAATTTTCAAACATCTATAAATGCAAAGCATTTCTTTAATAAAAACTAGTGTGCCTGCTATCTTCAACTTTTCACAAGCATGCACACGTGTGCACACACTCACACAAACATACACATATTCACACCCACTTCTATCTAACTGCACATACCATCATCCTGAGACCCAGTGTCTTCATCATCACTGAGATCTCCATCATAAGCCATGTCATCTCTCCTGGGGCGAGGCAGACCATCAGTACTGATCAGCATCCTACAACACAAATTACCATTCACCATTAGGAATGCTTTGGTTCAAATAGACTGTAAGTGTTGAAAGTCACCTGAACATGGATTTAAAACATCGACATCATCTTAAGCTTGTATGAATTATGTTGGGATGAAAAATATTTCAGGTATTTTGGAACTTGAAATATATAAAAGAATTCCAAAACAGGGGTGTCAATAAGCAAAGTATTTTATACAAATAATGTGATTAAAAAAAGATTGCTCAATGATAGGAGTTTGATGTGTATTAGTACAAGTTATTGACTTTACAGCAGAGATTAATACAAATTGAGGTTACAAAAAGCAACAGGAAGTGAGGTTAACTTACTTTTGATATTGTGATAATGTGTTGATCACATCAATCATTTGTCTGATGCGTCCACAGAAGGCATCCATGTGACCTAAGATGGCCTCCTCATCAGCCATGGCGACCCCATGACCTTCATGATCTCCAGCCAATGAGGATGATCTCTTTGAGGGAGGCCCTCCTCCTGGCGTCAATCGTGACCCCTTTGCTTTAGGGCGGCTAAAAAAATTGATTTTTTATTAATTCAAACTTATAACAGTTTCAATTATACCAAACTAATTGATGTTTTTTTCAAGATAAAAACGGAAACTGCTCTGAGGTATGATAGAATAGTACATGTACATATCTTATCCAGGTGATCTGGTGAATGGAAACTTGGTCTCATAGCACTGCAGCAACTGGGCTCCATCTCAGGTAGAGGACTTTACCAACTTTAGCATTACCAACCATCTCATGATATGAATGTAGCTTTAAACCTCTTTAAAATATATATATATATAGAGAGAGAGATTGAATAAATATTTTACAACAGATAAATAGATTAGTGTTTCCTACCTCCCAGATACACTGCCAGGTGGGCCACCTATGCTGCTCATTGAGGGGAAATGTGACAGATTGTGTGCTACTCCCAGGGAGTCTCTGAGAGACCTTAAAGACTCTCGGTATGCACTCTGTAGGGTCAAACAAGCTCTCAATCTGCCATACAAAGTGTCATCTTCTTCTCCACTGGTTTTTGTTGCTCTAGGTCTACCTCTTGAGGCCTGCAATGGAGAAGATACACTGTGTGACAAGCATGCTTAAACTTGAAAAGTCAAAATTTTTAAACATATATTTTAAGTAAAAATACATACACACAGCCTTCTCATTAAGTTCTGGAAAAGAATGTATGCTTTACTCCATCAAAGATAAACTGCAAACAGTCCTTAAAATTTTTTTCTGTTTTGAAGGTTCCACCATGTTTAATTTTTCTAAAATACCTTGAATAAGAAAGACTTTATAATAACCAACACATGTAGGATTTTACCTTTAGTTTACTTTGCACCAGTTCTCTGAGGTGCTTCTGCTGTGGGTCTGTTGTGTTACTGAAGTCTCTGTGTTGTACTTCTAACCTTACTAACTCCCACAGTTCATCCACATCCTCATCACTAACAGTGTTGTCTTTAATGTACTCCTTACATATCAAGACCATCTGGTTGGTAACCTGAAAACAGTATACAAATTGTATATATCACTTGCAAATGACTATGACATGAAAACATTTACACATAAATCAATTAGATATTGTTCACAAATGACTGAAATTTAGATTATCTAAAACAGACAATTTTCAACATGGATGAAAGAAAGAAAGAATGCAGCTAGACGTGTGAAACCCTTTAGCCGTAAGCAGGGTTCAGACAAAAACATTTAGAACAAATTCAAGGGCCACAAAGACTTTTTAGGCGCTAATTCAAGTATTTTTCAGGATGTTTCAAATGCAAATGAGAACTATGTACTGTCATTTATAATTGTACATACCAAAGAAAAAAGAAACATTTTATTCTAAATAAACTGCATATTTTAGCACACTGATGATGAACATCAAAAGAACTTTAATTAATTAAAATTTAAATGATGTTCAAAAAGGGTATTCTACGGAGCTTTGTTAGTATCATATTAACTTTTTTGTATTTTCATTTAAGTTTTATTTTNATTAGTGTTTCCTACCTCCCAGACACACTGCCAGGTGGGCCACCTATGCTGCTCATTGAGGGGAAATGTGACAGATTGTGTGCTACTCCCAGGGAGTCTCTGAGAGACCTCAAAGACTCTCGGTATGCACTCTGTAGGGTCAAACAAGCTCTCAATCTGCCATACAAAGTGTCATCTTCTTCTCCACTGGTTTTTGTTGCTCTAGGTCTACCTCTTGAGGCCTGCAATGGAGAAAATACACATTTATAAGCGTGTGACAAGCATGCTTAAAACTTGAAAAGTCAAAATTTTTAAACATATATTTTAAGTAAAAATACATACACACAGCCTTCTCATTAAGTTCTGGTAAAGAATGTATGCTTTACTCCATCAAAGATAAACTGCAAACAGTCCTTAAATTTTTTTTCTGTTTTGAAGGTTCCACCATGTTTTATTTTTCTACAATGCCTTGAATAAGAAAGACTTTATAATAACCAACACATGCAGGATTTTACCTTTAGTTTACTTTGCACCAGTTCTCTGAGGTGCTTCTGCTGTGGGTCTGTTGTGTTACTGAAGTCTCTGTGTTGTACTTCTAACCTTACTAACTCCCACAGTTCATCCACATCCTCATCACTAACAGTGTTGTCTTTAATGTACTCCTTACATATCAAGACCATCTGGTTGGTAACCTGAAAACAGTATACAAATTGTATATATCATTTGAAAATGACTATGACATGAAATCATTTACACATAAATCCATCAGATATTGTTCACAAATGACTAAAATTAAAATTATCTTAAACAAATGCAATTTTCAACATGGATGAAAGAAAGGAAAAATGCAGCTAGAGGTGTGAAACCCTTTGGCTATAAGCAGGGTTCAGACAGGAACATTAAGAACAAATTCAAGGACAACAAGGACTTTTTAGGCTCTAATTCAAGTATTTTTCAGGATATATTTTGAATGCAAATGGTTAAAACCACAAGATTTGAAATTATTTTTGACAAATAACTTCATCTTCAAATTTAAGAACTTTTTCAAAGGATAAGAATGATGGAATACAAGACCATTTCAAGGCTAATAGCAATTTCAAATTCTTTTGAAGGCCACAAACCAAATTCAAGGTGAAGGGCACTTTTCAAGACTGCATGAACCCAGTATAATGTAGTTACAATTTATAACAATTCTCTTATTCCCAACATTTTATGAATATTTGAATCATCATCCAAAATCATACAAAAACTACCACTAATCAATTTTGTTTCTAATTCAGTAAGCATAGAAACAGTTACTAGCTGGCAATGGTTACCTTTGTGAAGAAGAGTCCAAGGAAGCCTCCCCTTGCATAGAACCTAGAGATAGAGTCCATCTGTTTGATTGTGTTCATCAGTCCTGGTAAAGCTGTGTTCAGCACATTAAATGGTGTGGCATCATTGTACAATTGGTCAATATGCCGCTTCAGTGACTCCAGGTATTTCACTTTGTCCTTGGTTTCATTCATAGCATCTGTGATTCTGAAATTTCAACAATTGTGTTAACATTTTTGTATAAAGTATTTTACATTTTATCGTTATAAAGAGTGTTATGATCTTATTAGCTACTGTTTGAAAAATTCAACAAAATAACAAGTATACTTTAAAGCACCTGCATACAAAAATTTTAACAATTTTGCAACAAGATTATAATTATATGTGTAGATAAAATAATCGGAATTCCTCCTCTCTTATCAATCTCAAGAGCAGGCTTAAACAGAGAAATTATATTAACACAGCCCAAACTTTTTATCTCAATTATGGACAAGTTTTTACCCAGCATCAACTGCTTTCCATTTTTTCAGCAGTCTAGATTTAGCAGTGATGAGAACACCTATGACTGCCTTGCACTCCTTGCCCTTCAACTGCTCTGTGATACTGGTCAGAAGCCTCTGACGCCTGCGCCAGCGGTCAAGCTCAGACAGGGGACCAGCATTAGGATCCATGAACCTATGAAATAAAGAACAATTTGTATCAATACACTTTATTTTTCTCAATGCAACAGAAACCATGATGATAATTTTTAGCCATACTGACATCCTTAAACCAAAAATATACAAAGCTAAATTAAAGCCATCCCATATTCCCAAACCATTTCTAAAAAAAAAAAAAAAAAAATGATAGCGGTTACAAAAAAAGACTGTTGGGATTTCAGTTATGGCAAATAAACTAAACAATATTTAAATATTAAGAACAAAGCACCTTTCATCAGATGTGTCAGTTAGAATCCCTTCTATTGTGCTCATCCAGTCAGTGACCAGTTCTTCATATTCAGCAATAATACTCTGATCCAGGGCAGCAAGTCGGTGTTGCTTGAAATCATTGCTAATAAGGTGCTCAGGTTGCCTTAGCATCTGCAAAGATTTTGGTGAGCAATAATATACACACACTTTGATGATATTTGAAATAATAAAATTATTCCTTAAGTTAATTTGGTTACGTGATTTCACTATGATGTACCTGGTTGAATAAGAAGTTAATGAACAATGGTAAGTAACCCATATCATTCAACATGTAGATTCAAGCTCCATTTTCACATAATGCAATACTTAAAAAGAGGTGAAAAGGTACTCACCAGCTGCTTGGAAGCGTGAACACTAGAGGCCGATTCAGAGAGCGAGTTTTGAAATTTTTCCATATTAGATAACAGCTGAACTTGGCAATCCTCTGTGCAATTACCCCATTCTTTTTGTGCTTTAACCAGTGGAATATAAATATCAGTCAGGAGAGCATTTAAGCACTCTAAAGTTCCAGTCTTCAGTTCTCCACAGTAAACATCTTTCTCGATGCGGGATGCGTCGACCTCTTGTTCTACGTTGTACCGAAGAAAGTACAAAATATTTACACCATCTAAATCCGTATCTTTCAGTGTCGCCAGACTTCTTGTCAAGTGTAACTCTCGTGTGGAAAGCGTCCCTGATGCTGGTTTGTCACTGTAGAAAAACAGCCTGCATAGACCACCCGCATGAAGGAAATCGTTTATTATCTCCATAGTCTCCTCTACGATCAGAAAGTCTTCCAACAAAGTCGGGTTGTCAAACCCCCCAATGTGGAAGCTTTCCTGGATCTTCCCTGCAATCCACCAATGTCTTTCGTCCATGGTGCTATTGAATGTTGTTGAATTATTAGTTTTAATATGTCATTTACACGTTTAGGGTGCTATATTTGAGTATCCGTCGAAAAAAGCTACTGTATGTTTACCGTGCTGCATCCCTCTAACCCCCGCCATTTTGAATGTTGTTGGAAACAGAGTGCCCGGATTTCACAGGCATTAGTAGGCAGATTTTAATAAAAAATACTCATTATTACCAATAATATCAATTAAACATAATAAGATAAAATATTATGATTTATGTAATAAATAATTATTGCATTAAAAATAATTTGATATTATGATGAAAGGGTTACTAATACAAAATGACCACATGCCTGTGAAGTATATTCCCACCTGCAACCACCAGGTGTCTAGGCAGCAAACAAGACGATCCACAGCCAGTGCTTTTTGAAAGGAGTGTATCTTAGTGAAGTTAGTCAAGTGCTGTTCATTCGCTTAACGTTTTGTTTTCTAAGAATAATTAGACTGTTTCAAAATTAAATACTTGTCATATAAACAGCCCCATAAAGACATAACATATGAAAAAAAAAAAAAAAAACAGGATATCCCAAGTGCTAAATTTTTAACTTTAATTTTAATCCAGAATGAGTCAAACTTTTTTATTTTATTTTATTTTATTTTATTTTATTTTACAGATTAAGGGAGTTTTATTTTTAATCTAGTTCCACTGATTAATTATTCATGTAGTAACTATACTGTACACTTGTATACATATGATTTTCTATGAGCTTATGGAAAAGCTTGGACCTAACTAACTCTATTTAGGTCCAAGGGAAAACCAATGCATAAATATATAAATATATAAAAATATATATGTGCCCAGGTAAACGATGTTTAGAAAAAATTATGGCGTAAAAGTGTAAAACGCTAGATGTGCATATGATATGCCACCTCAGCTTCATATTATATGTGCAACGTTGATTGAAGTCCTGGGGACGATTTTTTTATGATTTCCCCTTTATATCGTTCTTTTTTAACCAAGAAAAGTAGTTTCTTCCTTGGTCAAAGTAAGAACTTGTCTTCCCCGAAACCACCCGTTGAACGAATCACTTAAAAAATATTTTCTTGAAGGGAATCCCTTGATAGTTAGTCTAGATCTACGTCATTTGGGGAAACACCGCGTTGCCCGATATGGAGTACGCACACAGTGATGACGTCATTCACAAGCAAGTTGACGTTCACGTCGAAAAACAACACAACTTTTTGTGTTTTCCACAAGATTTTGTGAATATCACCGATTGTTTTTTTACTGGAAGTTGAAGCTGCACAAAAAGTAATGTAGTGTGCTGTTCTCGTCGAAGAGGTGTCTATCAGTAGCTATCATAAATCTAGAAATGAAGAGGAAAATGGCTTCGTCTGATGATTATGATGAAGAAGCTGTGGCTCACAGATTGAACAACGTGAGCTTGGATGAGTCAGGTGGCGTAGAAACCGAGGAAATGGAGCAAGAAACTGACACAGATTTATCAGACCTGCCCACAGCCTTGATTGTGGCAAATCTGGATGAGAGGATATTTGATAATAAAGACGAAAAGGTAACCATCAAGCGTGCTGGGGAATGAGAGATTGGCCAGGCGTGTGTGTATTTATTTGTGGCTTGATCTATCAAATAATCCATGATTTGAGAGTCTACTGAAATGAATAATTGATCGCTACAATATTTTTCTCCAAATATACTAAGAGTGTTGCAGAGTGTTGCAGTGTAATTTCTAAGTTTTCAAATATTTTATATTGTATTTATTTATTTATTTATTTTTTACTGAATAAAATGTAAAAGAAGAAAACTTTCTCCTTTGTGGAGATGTAACAACGCAGACGTGGGCCATTGTTGCATAAGGATGTTGTCATTTTGATTGATGAAAATAAGAACATTAGATTATAATTTTCAAATTGCCACAGAACACTTTGCATAGATTCTTAGCATAATTCATCAGTGCTCCCTCAAGGGATGACTGCTGAAGTGAAACAGACTTCTATGCAAAGATGTCAGAGAAATAGGCTGTGGGAATCAAACAAAAATACACAGCATAATACAAAACACTGTTGCAAAGAAACTGCTAAGTGTAAGCTTATATATATATATATATATATATATATATATATATATATATTTAAATATGGAAAAAAGGGAGGGCTAATTTCTCTGTCAAAATATATAGTAGCAAATAATTACCAATATTTAATTATGCAACAACACCTGGACATACATCAGATATGAGCACTTGTTTAATGCAATAATTTTTCAGTATGATGCATTTTTGGGACTGTGGCCAATTCTCAGTTGCTCTACATGTACATGTTTTCCAATTCTTTTACTAAACTACTAGTATATGTCTTTCCTTGAGCTACCTGTAAGCATGCATCCCCTTCATAAAAAAAATTAAAATAGGATTCTAAAATGTTATGTAATTATGTATTCATTGCTTTCAAGAAGATTAAAAACAGGAGCACATAGCTATGTCCCAAATGTCAGCAGCTGTTACAGGAATTTTGTTGCAACAGGTATCTTATGAAGTAAACTGCATTCATGATCATAACCCAGATTGAGAACTGGCTTTTCATGTCATGTTAACAACAGAAAAAAGTACGTGTATCTTTTGCTTGAGTAAAGAAATTGCGAAATTATTGAATATTTAGAGTGTCTATTATCACTTTTAATGATGGTGCAGTGTTTTGAATTATTCTGATAGTGAACTGCCTTTAGTTAAGTAGTAAGCATTGCATATGTGTTTTACACAAATATTTTCTGTTTTGTTATAATTATTTGTCTCTGGGGTATGGCAGTCACCTCCATGAATAGAATTAAGGAGGAAAGAAGAATAAGCATATATATATATATATATATATATATATATATATATATATATATATATATATATATATATCTATTTACTCTCTCTCTCTCTTTCTCTGTGTATATATATATATATATATATATATATATAGAGAGAGAGAGAGAGAGAGAGAGAGTAAATAGATAAACAAATATATATATATATATATATATATATAGAGAGAGAGAGAGAGAGAGAGAGAGAGAGAGAGAGAATAAATAGATAAACAAAATAAAATAAAATAAATGCATAAAAAAAGAAAGAATGAATTCAATGAGATTATGTGTGCATTATTCAATCAAGTTCATTGCAGAAAGCTTTTGTTCGTCATTTAGGTGGTACTATCAAGCTGCTATATAGTCTAGAATTACAAGAAATATTCCCGGAATTGTAGCCAACACCTGTGATATAATCATTTTGCTTAGCAACATGAGCTTGTTTGTAGTGTTCAGTCTGACCAAGTTCAGGATACACAGCGCTGGCAAGAATATGTGCTCTAGACACTGGAACTGACTTTGGAACAATTAACTGCTGAACACCATACATAATGTAAAGGTGAATGCCAGCTTTAAAGAAAACAATCTTGTTTTAAAAGACAGAGTGGCTCTTGAAGGTTTGCATGACACACATGTCTCAAGTGATTTTCCTTTCCTGTTATGTTTATCTTTATTTTTTCTTGACTATCAGGGGAATCATGTTAACTCTAAACAAAATGTTGAAATTGATGAGATATAAGAAGAGTGGCACACTTAAGTAATCCATTGCCAGTTGTTTTGTGTGCCCAGGTGTACAAGCCATTGAAACTAGTTAAATTTAACCACATCATCTACCATGGGCATATCAATGATAAATAGTACTAAGTGAGTTGAAAATTTAGAAAAGAAGATTGTTGCAAATCTGCTGTTTGTCTAATGACATTTGTCTGGTGAGAGTTATCTCTAAGTTCTAAAGCAAATCCTTTAATTATACACACACATACTAGTACTTACACTGTATACATGTACCTGTGGTGAAAAAGAAGTGCTGTTGGCTTAATGACAATGAAGCTACTGTAGGTGTGTTACAAAATTACTGATCTTCTTGTCAGATATACTGGACTTTCATGAATGTGGTGTATGAGATGAAAATGTCCAATATTGTGCTTTTGCTAAGGGTTGGACTTTAATTTCACTGAACAACTGGATTTATGTAATAGGAAAATTGGATGAAAACGAGTTACTTTTGGTAAATGACGACTTCTTCTCTTCTTGAATCAATATGGAAGCTGCAATCTGATTTTGATATCCATCCTGGTTAACTCTTCCTCAAACTACAAAGATGTCAGTGTTCATTTATTGAGTGAACAGGGTATAAATAAATATGGTTCAGATTGATCTCGAGTTTTGAATGTTACCCAAGAGTGGAAGAGATATATTCACTTTTTTTACCAAATGTATCTCTTTGTTCATGTTTTTACTTTTTGTAGAAGTCCATATTTTGAGAACAGGTGCTGTTACCCTCTTACACACTTATGGATATGCATGTGCATGCACAGGCACACACACACACACACACACACACACACACAACCTGTGTCACAAAACCAGTTTCATAGTAAAATGAGTTTAATGACATTTGATTTGTTGGTGATTTTAAGACAGAAATAAATCCTGAGTAATTCCCTTTTTTCTTTTAGGAAAAATTTGAAGCCATTTTCAAGAATTTTGAGGAAAGTGCCTCATTTCAGTATTTGAAGAGTTTCCGTCGTGTTCGTGTGAACTATTCCTCTCCATTAATTGCTGCAACAGCTAGGATTACATTAGAGCAACTGCAGGTGGAAATTTGTGATAAAGAACTGAAAGTTTATTTTGCTCAGGTATGAAATATTCTGCATAGTCAGATAACAAGCAAATATACAATTTATTGAAAATTTGGTAAGAATAATAACATTAAATTGAATTCATTATATGGAACTCATTTAGATAGCACTTCATATTTTTTAGATTATTTTTTATATTAATTTCTAGACAGACATTGTGCTGTACAATATTCATCATTCAAGCACCAGATAACATTTGTTCCATCATTGATTTTCAGATATATTTTTTCTCAAATAATGGCAATTAAAGCTCAATTTGACCTTTACAGAATAAGACCCAATGTGATAGTTGTTATTAGCATATTTAGCCAAGTATTAAATGAAAATGCTTTTGAAGATAGTAACCTCAAGCTCATTTATAGGCTGTTGAGAGTTACAACACACTCATTTATGACTGACCAATGTACAATGATA